TATATATATTTTATATATCTATGTGCATCTGCATGCACATTATATACTCACACTGACATGCGTAAATTCGTTGATAATGTATACGTATATATATATATATATATGTGTTAATGTATATATATATATATACACATATGTATTTATACATGTATATGTTGTATGTATATAGATATGTACATGTACGTATTAATACTATTTATACATGTGTAGAGTTCCCAGATACCTTTATATACCTAAACAAAGTGTATATACATATATATATATAGATATGTAGAACTATGATATATAATACATATGTTTATAATATATATATATATTGATGTATAATATTGATGTATATGTGAACATAGGTACAGTGTATATATATTCTCTATATATACATGTGCATGTGAATCATATATATATAATATACATATATATATATATATATATATATATATGTAAACCGATACATATAATTATATTTATCAACATTTTTGCCAAAAACCCTTACATATCTACGCATATAGTGTATATATATACACCTGTATCTAGTGTATAATATATATATATGCAGATGTTCATATATATTTATATATACATATAACATATATAGATGCATATGCATAACAATATCAATCTACATATATATTTGTATTTAGACCCCTATAGATCCATTTATAAGACATTTATGTGGCTTATGTAGCGCCTTCACGTTCTAGCACAGTATAAAAAAAGCGCCGAAATAAATGAAGAATATGAATTTAATTTTTGAATAATAATAAAATTTAATGAAATAAAACAAAATAGAAAAGGCATTAAGCTGCCGCTGCTGCTCTAGAGCGGTCTGGGCAAATGGGCTGCCGTTTTGCTGCTGCGGGTTTGCCGGCTGCTGCTGCAGCGGAAAGCGCTTCCCTTGGGGAATAAGGTAATAAATAAATGACAAAAATAAAAAATAAATGATAAATGATAAATGAATAATAAATCAATATGGAAAAAATAAATCTGCGGGGCCTTTGGAGCTAATTTTAGCAGCAAAAGAGCGAAACTTGAACTGCCGAAAATTGAATCTGAATAGGCAGCAAATGAGGCCCAGCTGTTGGCGCAAAGAGCAGCAGCAAAACGGACAGAGCATTAAATTAAATAAAAATAAAAATAAAATGTTTTTTCGTGCATCTATTTGTGTTAAAGTGTTCTTCAGCGAGCAGCAAAGGCCAGAAAAAGGAGCTGCTGCTGCGCCCCAAAGAAATAACTGCAGCAGCAACAGCAGCAGCAGCAGCAGCAGCAACGCCCTTATGGCCCGCTAACTCCCGTTACAGGCTTCCAGGTGACCCCAGAGGCTGCAGCCCCCACGGACCCCTCCAGGGGTCCCCTTGGGGGCCCCTTTGGGGCCCCTTAGGAGCCGTGAAATGGGCTTTCTAGGGTTTGGCGGGGCCCCAAGCTTCTAGTGTTCTTAGGGACATATTGAGAGCTTTGTCAGGAAGCTTCAGGGGCCCCCTGGGGGCCCCCGAAGTTCTCTTCAGGCGGCCCCTGGGGCCCCCTGTTGGGGTCCTTGGGGGCCCTCTGGGAGCCTTTAAGAGTCTCTTTCGGGACCATCTGGGGCCGCTTAGGGGCTCTTTTGGACCCTTTTAGGGGCCCCTCCAGAGCCTTTTGGGGGCCCTTTCAGATCCCCTAAAAAGCCTTTTAGGGGCCCCCCAGAGGATACCCAAAGTGCCCCCAGAAAGCCCTCAGAGGGCCCCAGAAGGCCTCCTTTTAGGACCCCCAAAGAGCCATGTTAGGGCTTCTAAAGTGCCTCTAAAGCCCCCAAGGGGCCCCCAGACAGCCTATGTTGTCTAATACCTATTTTCAAGTCTTATATAAGTATATATACTAGCTAGTTGCATATATATCTGCTTTTACAGCAAAAGGGGCCCCTAATATTGGGGTCTTGCCCCTATGTAGGTGCTCCTGTGGGGGCCCCCTGACCTGGGGGGCCCCCAGTGGCGCTAAACCCTCAGGGGCAGCCCGGGGGCCCCTGGGCTGCAGCGCTTTGCGGGCTTCTGGCTTTGCTGCTGCTGCTGCTGCTTGCTGCGCTGCTCTTGCTGGGCTGCGCTGAGAGGCCCTGGGCAGCAGAAAGAGCTGCAGCGGAAGCTGATGGCGAGTGGAAGTAATTCAAGGCTTCTAGCCCAAAAAGAGGGCCCGGCGCCCCTAGCCAGCTGAGGCAACACATTAAAAAATAAAAATAGTCAAGGGAAATATATTTTCGTGGAAACAAGTGCTCAACATCTCTATCTTGGCCTCAGGGGGCCCCGGGGGGCCCCTCGGGGGCCCCCCAGGGGCCCCCAATCGTCTGTTGATGTGTTTTGGACCTTTTGTGTCCACTTGGGATTTACGTATTTATTATTTCTTATTTTTTCTGCTTTTTGATCTCCGCTTTAGCGTCTCGTGGCGGGCCGTGCTCCCCCAGGCCGTGCAGCGGCGGCTCCAGCGACAGCTGTTGCTTCTGCTGCTGCTGCTGCTGCTGCTGCTGCTGCTTTGCTTCAAACGCAGAGACATAAGACGCACGAGGCTGGGGGCTCTCAAACAAATGCAGTGAAGTCTTTGGGGCCGCCAGCTGGGGCCAGGGAGGGGTTTACAGGGGGCGCTAGCGAGTGGGCCCCACCACCCCAGCAGTTCGGCGCAGCAGCAGCAGCAGCAGCAGCAACACAAGCAGCAGCGGCAGCAGCAGTAGGCTGCTGGATGTGCTGCAGTCAACTGTTCGCGTTTTGCTGCGATGAATATCCAAACAAAGGGGCCCCTCGATGGGGGGCCCCAAGCAGCAGAGCCGCCGGGGCCCCCAGAGCCCCTCGGTGCACCCCTGCCTGCAGCAGCAGCAGCAGCAGACGTAGAAGCAACTGCAGTACGAGAAGAGGCTGCAGCAAGAGTAGGAGGGGCATCGCCGGCAGCGGCAGCAGCGACAGCAGCGGCAGCTACAGCAGCAGCTACAGCAGCAGCAGCAGCAGCAGCAGCAGCAGCAGCAGCAAATGGGACTCGGCCCCTCTCGCGCAGCTGCTGCCTCTTTATCCGGGAAACCCTCTGTCGCATGCAGAAAGCAGCGCCAGGCGGCCGCAGGGGGAAGCCAATAAGGGAAGCAGCAGCAGCAGCAGACGCTGCCTTAGTAGACCTACTGGAGCAGCAGCAGCAGCAGCAGCAGCCTGTAGAGGCCGCAGCAGTAGTTGATGGCGGGTGTCGTGAGAATGGTGCAGCAGCAGCATCTGCTGCGACAGCAGCACCTGCTGCAGCTGCTGCTGCTGCTGCTGCTGCTGCTGCTGCTGCAGGTGCTGCAGTACTAGTGCCTGCGTCTTCGCCTTTCTTTCCTTTTCTTTTATATACTTTCAAATTGTGTCTCTCTGGAGACCAGCCGAAGCTGCAGCTGCTGGCGCTCGAGGCAGCCAATCTGCTGCTGTCTCTGGGTGCTCTACCCTCAGCAGCAGCAGCAGCAGCAGCAGCAGCAGCAAGTGCACAGCCAGCAAGCAAGCAGCAGCAGACGGGGCACAGCCGGCCCCAGCAAGTGCCCGTTGCGGGTGAGGTGCAGCAGCAGCAGCAGCAGCAGCAGCAGCAGCAGCAGGCTGGCGTGTCTCCGGTTGCAGCCTCGCCAGAAGCAGCAACGCCTACAAGCCCAACAGCAGCAGCAGCAGCAGCAGCAGCAGCGGCGGAGGTGGAAGGCACTGTGGAGTATTTGACGGAGGCCATAGGGCACTTAGCAGCAGCAGCAGCAGCAGAAGACCCCGTGCTGCTGCAAGTAGTGCGGTGTCTGCTCACAGCCTTAACAGCAGCAGGGGCCCCCCTGCATGGGGGGCCCCTCTTGGGGGCCCTTTCATCTCTATTTGCTGTTTGTGTCACAGCAGCAGCAGATGACATAGCCAGAGCTTCTCATGCTGCGCTGCTTCAGGCCCTGGATGCTGCTGTCCACAGAGCTGCTGCTGCTGCTGCTGCTGCTGTTGGGCGTGCGGGGGCACGTGCAGCGGCAGCAGCACCAGCGGAAGCAGCAGCAGCTGGGCATAAGAGACAGGAAGCTGCAGCTGCAGCGGCTGCTGCAGTAGAAGAGGCTGCAGCAGCAGCAGCCGCAGCAGCAGCTGCCGAAGGCGCGGCGAGCCCGCAGCCAGCAGCAGAAGCAGGAGCTGCTGCCAGCGCTGCTGCTGCTGCAGCAAATCCGCGCAGAATCACTGCAGCAGCTTTGAATGGGCCTCCAGCTGATGCTGCTGCTTCGGGGGCCGAAGAAGCAGCAGCAGCAGTGAATGAGCCGCAGGAGGCAGCACACGCAGCAGCTGCTGCTGCAGCACCAGATGCAGCAAAAGCAGCAGCAGCTGCTGCTGCTACTGCAGCGGAGCATTCTGATGCAGAAGTAGCAGCGATGCTCGCGGCGAGCGCAGTAGTGGACAGACCAGCAGGTGCAGCAGCAGCAGCAGCAGCAGCAGCAGATTCAGCAGCAGCAGCAGCAGATTCAGCAGCAGCAGCAGCAGCAGACTCGGAGAAACTGTCTTTTGTGTCAAGGGTTAACTTGCCAGCAGAAGCGGAAGCGGACGGGATTGCAGCAGCAACAGATGCCACAGCAGCAACAACAGCAACAGCAGCAGAAACACCGCAGGCGTTGCAGTCGCCGGCAGCAGCAGCGTCGGCAAGAGCCGCAACAGCATCAGCAGCCGCGTCAGCAGCAGCTGCGGCTGCAGCAGCTGCAGCAGCAGAAGCAACTGCTGCAGCAGCAGCTGCTGCTGCTACTTCTCCCCTAGCTGCCGAAACGCCTGCGAGCGAGCTTTCAGCAGTTGACAGCGGGCGGCAGCCTACCTGCAGCAACAGCAGCAGCAGAAACAGCAGCAGCCGCAGCCGCCGCCACCACAGCAGCAGCAGCAGCAGCAGCAGCAGCAAGCTTTCCTACCGGCCGGTGCTGCTGGAAGTGAGAGATCTGCTGCTGACGCTGCAGGCCCTTTGCCGCATTGCAGATGGCGAGGGGCCCCTCAGGGGGCCCCCCAGGGGGCCCCCTCACGACAGCAGTTTGGAAGGGGCCCTTGGGGCCTCAAGAAGCAGACGCAGCAAACGCCTGGCCCTGGAAATGATTCTTGCTGTTGCCCAGGTAACAGGTGCTGCTGCTGCTGCTGCTGCTGTTGCTGCTGCTGTTGCTGCTGCTGTTGCTGTGGCGGCGGCTGCCGCCGTTGTTCGCGCTACCGTTGGTGCTGGCAGCGTTTCCAGTGACATCAGAGCTGTTGCTGCTGCTGCTGCATGCGAAGCCTAGATTGCTGCTGCTGCTGCTGCTGCTGTCGCTAAGACTAGCAGTGCTGCTGCTGCGGCTGCATTATGTGTTTAACTCGCCGCGGCCGCGGGCTTTGTGCCCCAACCCTCGTCCTGCTGCTGCTGCTGCTGCTGCTGCTGCAGAGCTTGCCTAAGGCGTTGTGGGGAGACCCATCTCTCGTGCTGCTGCTGCGGCAGCAGCTACTGCCTGCACTTGGCCGTAGCCTGCAGGACGCAGCCCTGTGTCGGATGGGTCTGGAGATTATGCTGCGAGTTGCAGAAACAGCTGAGGTTCGTTGCTGCTGGCAGCCGTAGGGCTGCTGCTGTTGCTGCTGCTTCTGCTGCTGGAGCGGCTATTTTCTTTGCCTCTGCTGCCTTGCTGCTGTTGTTGCTGCTGCTGGTACGGCAGTAGCTTTCGCCCGAGTACAGTTCTGTTGCGTTTACATTTCAGCCCTCCCTTTCAGACAAAGGCTTGCATAGTGCTGCAGGGAGCAGCAGCAGCAAGCCCTGTTGCCAGCTTCCTTTGCTGCTGCTGTTGCAGCAGCACTTTCGTCTACTTACGGCCAAGGGAGGTCCGCTTTTGCTGCGCAGTCGCTTCTCATTTGCTGCTGTTGTGCTGCTGCTGTTTGCTGCAGGGGCCGCTGCTAGTAGATGTGAGTATGTTTGTGGGAGAGATGGTGGCGCCGCTGCTGCAGGCAGCGCAGCCGCACCCGCAGCAGCTGCAGCAGCAGCAGCAGCAGTCCGTGTCGCAGCAGCTGGCCGCGCTGGCCTTTCTTGCGCGGCTCTTTCGCGCTGTGCCTCTGCTGCTGCCGCTTTTATTTGCTGCTTTCGATTTGGCCTACGAGGGCGAAGACGTGCTGCTGCAGGTTGTACAGACACTGCAGCGCCACGCTGCAGCAGGTGGGTCGCCTTCTCTTCTGAGTCTTTTTCATTCTTAGTTTAATTCAAATAAATTCTTTTTAGCTTCCTCCTTGCCTTGCTGCTTCCTTGAGTTGCTTCTCGTGGCTGCTGCTCAGAGCCTGTCTTGCTGCTGCTGCGTTGCGCGCTTCTGCTGCAATGCCGCAGGGGACGCAGGAGCCGCGCCAGGCCTGCAGCAGCAGCAGCAGCGGGAGTTGCGTGCTGCAGCAGTTGCTGCACTATCTTCCTTAGCTGTGGCACTCAAAGACTGCAGGCGAGGGCGGCCAGGCAAAAGCAAAGAAAGCCCCAAAAGCCACCCACAAGAGCAGCAGCAGCAGCAAACGAATCTGCATGCAAGTGGAGGCAGCAAACTCTCCCTGGAGTCTTCGTTCTCCCCAGAGACGCCCACCACGCTCGGCGCAGAAGAGCAGCAGCAGCAGCAGCAACAACAACAGCAGCAGCAACAGCAGCAGCAGAAGCAGCAGCAGCAAGAGCAGCAGGGTGAGGTCCAAGATGGGCGGAGCGAACAGCAGGCAGAGGCTGCAGCTCTCACTAATTCTCTGGGCAGCAACAGCAGCCCGACAAGCAGCAGCAGCAGCAGCAGCAGCAACAGGCACCTGGCAGAGGAGGTGCGGCGGCGCCGCGAGTGGAAGCGCCGGCTGTATGCTGCCGTCGAAAGCTTCAACAGAAAACCCTCAGAAGGGCTGCAGCAGCTGCTGCAGCTGAAGGGTTTGCCGGTGAGGCTGTATGTACACCGCAGCAGCAGCAGCGGGCGCGGCAGCAGCTGCGTCCCTCATTTGCTTCACTAATCTTCCATCATTTGTTTCTGCACACCGCTGCCTGCTGCGCCGCCACTTGCTGCTGCTGCTGCTGGCTTTGGATTTGCTGCAGGACTCGCCGGAGGCAGCGGCGCTGCTGCTGCTGCAGCAGCGGGGCCTCAGTAAAGCTGCTGTGGGCGAATTGCTGGGGGGAGACTCAGAAGCCTCCAGGGCTTTGCTGTCAGCTTTTCTGCAGCGTTTGAGTTTTGCTGTACGTACACTGCGTGTTTATGTGCAATCATTTGGCCGAGGATGTTTAGTTTGTGTTTTATTTGTGTTTTTAGTGGCTAATTTGTTTCAGAATTCATTTATGTGTTCCCTTTTTGCTGCCTGTGCCCTTAAATGCCAGCCCTGTGCTGCTGTTGCTGCTGCTGCTGCTGCTGCTGCCCCCGCAGGGCCGCCCCATTGATGAAGCCCTTCGCCTTTTTTTGTCTCTCTTCCGGCTGCCTGGGGAGGCGCAGAAGATCGACCGCATACTTGAGCGTTTTGCTGAGCGCTACTTTCAAGACAACAGTAGCGACGGCAGCAGCAGCAGCAGCAGCAGCAGCCAAAGCAGCAGCCAAAGCAGCAGCGGCAGCGGCCCCAGTGCTGAAGGAGAGGCGCGCACCGGCAGCAGCGACACTGCCGGAGATCCCAAAGGGGCTCTTTCGCGCAAGCTCAGCAGCAGCAGCAGCCAGCAGCAACTGCAGCAGCAGCAGCAGCAGCCTGCGGACGCGGACGAGCTGAGTGTGCGTAGCTACAAGCTGCCGTCTGCAGACTGCTGCTACATTTTGTCTTTTTCGCTGATTATGCTGCACACGGACTTGCACTCGAAAGAAGTGAAGCCGAGCCGGAAAATGACAAAAATGGAATTTGTCAAAAACAACAGAGGCATCAACGAAGGCAAAGATTTGCCCCAGCCCTTTCTGGAGGCCCTTTACAACAGAGTGGCTAAGGAAGAGTGGGTACTGCCTGACCAGAGCACGGGGGGCCCCCTGCAGCAGACGCGGGGGGCCCCCCTAGGGCGGGCCTTTCAAGGGGCGGTGAAGCCCTGGGGGGCCCCCCTGGGGTCCCGGGGCCCCCGCTGGCTCGTGGGTGCGCACCGGGCGGAACTGCAGCAGTTGCGACAGCAGCAGCAGCAGCGGCAGCAGCAGCGGCAGCTGCAGCTGAGCAGCAGAGTCCTGTACGAGGACGAGCTGGGCGAGCTGGTGCACTTCATGCTGGACGCTGTGGGGCAGCTTGTGCTGCAGGGACTTGCTGCTGTGGTGGGGGACTTGGGGGCCCCCGAGGCAGCAGCAGAAAGCGCAGTGGAGGGCCTGGGGGCCCTCTTGACACTTTGCTGCAGCGAAGGGCAAGGGGGCACAAGGGACGAAACAGCTGCGACTTTGCGCACGCTGTCGCAGCTGCACCGGGCGGGACAGCAGCTGCTGCAGCGCAGGCACGTTGTGGCGGCGCAGCAGCTGCTGCAGGCAGCAGCAGAAGAAGGGGACCAGCTTGAAGCTGCTTGGATCCACGTGCTGCTGCTGCTGTCGCAGCTCGACTTCCTGCAGACAGCCCACTGCCAGGCGATGAAGGCTGCGGACTCAGCGGTGAGAGAAGAGAGGCGGCAAAGGGTGAATGCCCACAAGAGCGCGTCAGCAGCAGCAGCAGCAGCAGCAACAGCAGCAGCAGCAACCGCAGCTGCCGCGGCCGTGGCAGCTCCCTTCCTCGTGGACGCAGCCAAACCCCATGTCCAGCCGCCGCAGCAGCAGCAGCAAGCTCTAGAGGGCGCAGAAAGCTCTTGGGTGCTTGTGTCTTCGCCTGCTGCTGAGGGGGCCCCCAACCTGGCTCGGGGGGGGGGCCCCTTCACGGTCCTAGGCCCCATGAAGGAGAATGCGCTGTTTGAGAACATGTGCCTGATAGAAAGTTGTTTGGATTTGTCTTGTGTCGATTTGCTGTTTTATTCTTCGGTTCACCTCAGCGACTCGGCCTTTGTGCGGTTCGTGACGGCGCTGCAGCAAGTCTCGTTGCTGGAGCTGCAGCAGCAGCAGCAGCAGCCGCCGCAGCAGCAGCAGCCGCGACTGTTCGGCCTTCAGAAACTAGTGGAGACAGCGGACTACAACATTGGTCGGGTCCATCTAATTTGGGGTTTGCTGCAGCAGCACTTCGTCGCTGCTGCGCTGCATGCGGCCCTGCCGGTGCGCCTCTGCGCCCTAGACGCGCTGCGTCAGCTAGCCAGTAAGCAGCTGACCCAGCAGCAGCAGCAGCAGCAGCAGCAGGGAGGGGGGCGCATGCTGCACTTCGAGGAGCAGCTAATGGTCCCCTTCTTGACAGTTGCTTCTGACCCTCACACCCAAGATGCTGTGCGGGAATATATTCTTCACATTTTGAAGCATCTCGTGGAAGCAAATGGAACTCAAATCCGTTTTGGCTGGAGGTCCATACTTTTGTGTCTGCACTGCGCCGCTGTAGACATCCTCAGCAAGGCGCCTGCTGCTGCTGCTGCAGCTGCTGCTGCTGCTGCGGCGGCCGCCGCCGCACCCGCGGCGGCGCCGCTAGCAGCAGCAGCATCCCCAGTGGTAGCAGCAGGCGCGCACTTTAGCCCGCACCCGACAGCAGCAACAGCAGCGGCAGGAGCAGCAGCCGTCGCCGCGGCCGCTGCTACGACAGCGCCGGGCGCTGCAGCAGCAGCAGCAGCAGCAGAAGCAGCAGGGTCAGCGGAGCAGCTGCGGAAGCGGCTGCTGCTGGTCTTTGACATTTTAGATGAAGTGCTCAGTCGGCATGTCTATTCTCTTGGAGCTGCAAATATCTCTCAAGCAACTTCTTCTCTCTCCCTCATTGCTGCAAACCCTCTTGACCCGCAGCTGGCCGTAAAAGCAGTGCAGGCGCTGGAGGCCACAGCTACTACCATAGTCCAGCTGGCGGACAAGCAGCAGAAGCAGCAGCTCCCGCAGAAGCAGCAGCAGCAGCAGCAGCCTCTCCAGCAAACGGAAACCTGGGCAGAAACAGAAGCAGCAGCTGCAACTGTAGACGGAACGGCTGCAGACGGCTTTGCTACAGAGGCAGAAGTGCCCGTCGGCGCTTCGCCCCCTTCGGCGCTGCGCGGATCTGCTCTTGATGCTGCAGCAGCAGCAACAGCGACAGCAGCAGCAGCAGCAGGAACAGCAGAGGAGAGGACGTCTGCCGGTGCTGCGCTGAGCTTCCCCTCTTTCTTAGCCATCTTGCTGGCCCTGGGGCAGCTTGCGTGCCGACCTGGTGGCGCGAGAGGCCGCACAGCCGCAGCAGCTGCAGCAGCAGCAGCTGCGCCTGCTGCTGCAGCGGCAGCACGTGGAACAACGGAGGGGCCTGCTGACCCTTCAGCCGTTGGCGGGGGGTTTCCTGCCCCTGCGTCAGCTGGGCAGCCACACACAGGATCAGCAGCAGCCGGAGCAGCAGCAGCGGCAGAAGCAGCAAGTAGGAGCTTGTCTGTGGACGATGGGGCCCTTGACGGACTTTTGGGGCTTGGCGCATGCGGTTTTGCTGGGCCAAGGGAAGCGGCGCTTGCTGCTTTATTCCGCCTGCTGCAGCAGCACGGGGGCCGTCTTGTGGCTGCCTCTCCAGAAGCAACTGCAGCAGCAGCACCATCACCGGCAAGGGGTGGTCCGGAGGCCCCAAGCCAGCAGCAGCGGCAACAGCAGCAGCAGCAGCAGCAACAGCAAGCGGGTCTCTATCCCCCACAAGAGTTGTGGCAAATAGTGTTGAAGGGCGTTTTGTCTCCTGTTTTTGAGGACCTCTTCTTCGACCTTCACGGCTGCGGGGCCCGCAGATCTAAACAACAGCGGCAGCAACAGCAACAGCAGCAGCAGCAGCCGCAACAGCTGCTGCAACAGGACAAGCAGGAGCAGCCTCAGCGGCTTACGAACGTAACAGCTGCCTCGCTGTTTGTGGTCCGCAGAGAAACAGAGAACAACGATCGGGAAATCAGCGGCAGCAGCACGAACACGGGCGGCGGCAGCTTCAGCAGCAACAGCAGCAGCAGCAGCAGCATCAGGTCTGGCAGCAAAGAAGATCAGCTCCGGCTCAACACCGAAGAAGAAACGCTGTGTTGGTTTGCCATTCGAGCCCTGGGCCGTCTGGTGTACGTACACTTCAAGCAACTGCGGCATTTGCTCAGACCCTTCGTCGCTCTCATGGTGCGGCATTTCAACTGCAGTGTATATACAGGTCGCCTGCAAGGTCTCTAGATGCATAACTATAATACATTTGTGCATATATTGTACAATATATATAATATTTATGATATCTATAATATGGTCTTGCAAGGTCTCTAGATGCATAACTATAATATGTATATGCATAATAGTCTATAATATATAGTATTTATAATATTTGTGAGTCAAGTATGTATTTACTGCATATTTACGTCCTGTACGTACGCAGCTGGTGAACTGCACAGCCGTTGTAGAAGCCGCAGTTTCGTGTTGAATTATTTCTGAAGGCAAAAATTTTAAAGGTTTTAGGGGGACTGCTCTGCTTTGTAGATTTGTTCACTTGAGCTTCTGCCCAGAAAAGTGTTGTGCCTTAAAGTTGTTTATATCTTTAGATGCCGAATTTGCATCACAATACGTGGAGGCCTATAGTAAGCCAGTTTATTATATATGTGCCAATCACAATTTGTGTCTAGATGTGATTTATGTATGTTTGTATATATATACTTGAATGGTATAAGCTTTTATAGTTTATATTCATGTAGAAAGTCAGCTACATCTACATCTATAGGTGCTGCAGCTGCTGTTGCCGTTGCTGCTGCGGTCGTCGTTGCCGCTACTGCATTGCTGCTGCTGCTGTCTCGTTGCTGCTGCAGCTAGGAGGGCTTAGCGACCCTCCTACGGAGTGTGGGGCCCGTCTCAGCGTGGAGGGGCTTCGCCGGCTGCTGCAGTCTTTGAAGCAGTACCTGCAGCAGCCAGAGGCAGCAGCAGAATGGCTGGCTGTTGCCGGTGCCGTAGCAGTGAGTTCCACCCCTTTCCCTGGGCCTACTGGTGCACCCGCAGCAGCGCCAGCAGCAACTGCTGCTGCTGCTGCTGCTTCGCCAGCAACTCTATGCACGCACATCTGGCAGCTCTTGCACGCGTTTCTTTGCGCATTAGATCTTCTTTTGTCTTTGCTGTTGTTGCTGCTGCTGTCTTCTCTTTTGCCCGTAGGACGCCTTCAGCCATTCAGCCCCGCGGGCTCTTCTGGCGAGAGCGGCTGTGACGACCCAGGCCCTTCGTCTGTCATTTGGTCTCTACTTTTCTTCAATTGAGACCCAAGATATAGGCCCCAGCGCGGTAGCCGCTGCTGAAGCGGCTCAGCAACAGCAGCAGCAAAAGCAACGGCAGGGAGAGCAGCAGCAGCAGCAGCAGCAGCAGCGGCATCTGCAGCAAAGACACCAGCAGCAGCCGCAGCAGCGCCTGCCGCAACAGCAACAGCAAAGAAAGCAGCACCGGCAACGGGATGACTCCCCAGAGTCTTCGTTTGGCCACCCGCTTGACTGGTTATTGCAGGAGGGTCTCCGCAGCAGCACCAGCAAAATGCCAGCAGGCACGGGGCCCCTGCCTGCTGAAGACCGGCAGCTGCTGCTGCGCTGTCTGCCAGAGTCCATCTGCAGCAGCAGCAGCAGCAGCAACCGGACCCCGACGGCCGTTGGCGGCCACCTGATGGCGTCGCTCAGGCTTCCCTTTGATCCCCAGGATGTCGCAGCAAGATGTGTAGCACAACTGCTGCTGATAGACTTGCTGAGGGTAAGCGAAGCACTTACAGTAGCAGCAGCGGCAGCAGCAATGGTACCAGCAGCAGAGGCAGCGACCACAAGAGGAGCAGCAGCATTAGCTGCTCTTTTTGTATTTGTTTTTTCAGAAAGAGTTCATTGGGAATCTTCTGCCAGTGGGGGCCCTCCGGCTTCTAGTCTGCTGTTTGGAGGCCTCATTTATTTTCGCTTACTTGTATAATCAGCAAGTGGGGCAGTTGACTTTGCATTTGCTGCACCTGCTGCTGCTCTTGCTCTTGCTGCTGCTAGACGCTTCCCTGAACTCACAGCGTTGCTGCTGCTGCTGGAAACCTGCTGCTTCTATATGCCGCTCGTGGCGTTAAGCTGCTGCTCACTATATCTTCTGCGGTGGTGCTGCTGCCCTTTTTGCTGCTGCTCGTGCTGCTGCTTTTGCTGCTGCAGGTTTCGTTGCGGCTGTGGCTGCAAAGGTGCGGCTTCATGGCAGGGCTCAAGCAGCTCCCCGGGCTGCTGAAGCAGCACCGTGAGGCAGCTGCTGCAGCTGCTGCTCTGATGCTGTCGGCTCTCAGCGAAACGTCAAACCCACAGAAACAGCAGCAGGAAGATGCTGCAGCTGTTGCAGTTTCAGAGCTGGCAGCAGCAGCAGCGCCAGCTGCAGCTGCTCCTATTGAAGACCTAACGGCTTTCGCCCTGCCCCGATACCTGCGTTTTTGTCGCTGGCACATTGTTCAATTTCTCTGGAAGGAGGAGCAGCTGCAGCGGCTCTTGGAGCAGCAACAGCACCAACAGCAGCAGCAAACAATAGTGGCGAAGGAGGGATTCGCGCACGACCCGCCGAAGGCCATTCAACAGGCAGAGCTGGTAAGTGGCTCTTTCTCGCCGGTGCATTGCCGCTACTGTTGCTGCTGGTGCCGCTGCTGCTGCTGCACATCGTTTAAAGGCTGCTGCTGTTAGAGTAGCCTCGCTCATTATGATTGGCGGCGGTGGGATGTCCGCCGGCGTCTCAGGCGGAAGTGAGTCGCGAGCTGACGGGTCTGTCAGTGCTGATCTCCTCCTCAGTCCTTCAAGGCCTCAGCGACTTGCCAGGCAACATGTAGGCCTTAGCAGCTGCGGCTGCTGTTGCTCTTGATCGTGCTGCTGCTGCTGCTAAAGCTGATGCTCTTGCCGCTCGTGTCGCTGCGGCCGCTGTGGCAACATGTGTCTTCCTTTCTATTTGACCGGGTCTTCCGGATGCTGCGACTCTGCTGCAAGAGTTGTTATTGGTGCTGTAGTTTCTATCACAAACGTTGTTGCTGTTGCCTCAACCGCTGTTGCTGTACTATCTTTGTAGTATGTGTTGCAGCTGAGGTAGTTAATTGATTTCGTGACTTCCCTGCAGGCGTTTCTCCTGTTAGGATCTAGTGAGGGATCCAGGAGTTTCTCGTTTGATCATAAATGTGCTTTGCTGCTGTGCTGTTGCTGCGTTCTCAGGGCTGCCTCGAACGCTTCACTCGTTCTGGGCCTTGTTTTAGAGCTGACTGCTGCATCGTCGCCGGTAAGTTGATGTCGCTGCTGCTGGAGTACAGCAGTTGCTATGACTTTTGCAGCTGCCGCTGGCCCTTTGCTGCTGCTGCAGCGTCTGCTGCTATTGATGTGTAGCTGCTGCCATTTCTGGCACACAGGTCTTGCTATTGCTGCGCGATGAAAGTACCTGTGGTTCCCGTTGCGAGCTTAACGAGGCTGCATATCTTTATTTTCAGGTGTGCAGGCAGCACCAGGATAGTGTGTTTCTTGCGTGGGGTTGCTCAGGAAATGCGCAATGAAGCCCGAAAGGCGATGCAGCGGCTCCTCACCCGCGTCCTCCCGGGGCGCTTCTGCGCCTTGCAGCTGCTGCCTCCCCTGCTGCCCGCGCATCCCGAGGCAGCTGCAGACCAGAAGACGACCAAGGCATCGCAAGGACCACAGTGACAGCAGCAGCAGCAGAAAGAGCAGCAGCATTAGTGGGTGCTGCATCAACGGCGCCGCATATTCTCGTAGTTTCGTGTATTTCGGTTCCCGGCATGTGGCCAAATTTGGAGCAGAGTGGCTATTTGAGCCTGGACACATGTCTTTTTTCTTCTGTTTTGTTGTTCTCTTCCCTCTTCTCGTTGTCCTATCTCTCGCAGCTTTCTTCATGAAAGAGCGAGTAGCTTTGATCAGACTCTGCTATAGTTTAGATGGCAGCTGCACTGCGGCGTGCAGGTGCCCATCTGCAACTGTGTCAGTTTGCTGCTAAATCAACTAACTTTCGGAGCAGCTAACTCATGTAGTGGCTGGATAATGATGAAGGCAGCTGAAAAATTGGCAGGCTCGCTAGTCAATTAGCTGCAAGCGTGGCTAGTTTATTAGCGAGTGGGTTCTGCCACTGGCGTCGGTGGGGATTTCAACTAGCTGCAAAGATACCTTTCCAGTGGCCAATGTCGCTGCACGCCCTCTAGTTTGCCCAAGTGCCACCATAAAACATCAAGTTCAAACAGGGGACAGACACAGAGTACAAATAATCCTGTTTAGCACAGGCAATGCCAGTCGGTTCTGTAGATGCATCGGTAGAGCTATAATCCTGTTTAGCTTTACCGATGCATCTACAGAACCGACTGGCATTGCCTGTGCCGTGCAACCAAAGGCTCAAGGCGAGCAAATACAAAAGAAGCAGCTCAACGGCATGAACTTCAGAGCTCGGAGAAGCAATCAAGAGTTTGACGTCTCTTGCTAAGTCGTTAGGTATCTCTCAATTACACCAGTGCCCGCCTCTCACAACACAGCAGTTGTTACGAAGTCCTTTTGAACTGAAGTCAGTCGTCCCCATGGACAAAAAACGTTCCATGATTCACACTGTGAGTTAATTACAAAACAAAAAGGCGGGATATACGGAGCTCCCCCTTGCTAACAAATACTAGCCTTAGCCGCCCGTAGCCAAAACTAGTAGACACGTAAATAATAGGGCCGTTTGCTGCAGGAAAACATTCCGGGCCACATACATATGTCTTGATGTGAACAGTGTCAAAGTGATGAATATCACGAGTATGCAAATACTCAAACAAGTTGCAGAAGTTCCTTTGCGTTTTCTTCCAATCACCCCCGAGCGCAACACAGTGCCATTTGATCCCGTTGGAGCCGCACTAACCTGTTCCCCTTATTGAGGTAGGTAGGGATATTAGGTCCCTCAAAATAACCCATCATGAGAGTCAGTGTTCTGAATCAATGTATACTGGACTGAATATATTCTTCAAAGGCTTGGCAACTGAGCGAACATAGAAGGGCCTTTAGGCTCAACTTGCCTAATCAGTTGGGGATAGTCTTTAGTTGAGAAATTTTTGAAGCCACAGAAAAGAAGCAGACAGTATTTTTTTCCGATGACTACTATCTGGGTAGGGCGCTTAAGCCGCTTATCAACATAGTAAAACTTCCTATCTGGCCATGACAACATTTAACATTTGCGTGGATATAAGGCCACCCAATCACTGTCCGTGTCCAAGGGAGTAGAGATGGAAACACAGGGGCATTTTGTTTTGTAATTAACTCGCCTTTTGCGGGCTGCCTTCCCTTTAGCATCCGCTAGGCCACAGGCGGCTGAACTCAGTTGAGCTCTAACCATCGATTGGGTTTGTTTTTCTGACCACAGAACTTTATTTCTATGTTTACGTCAAACTGTAGGCAACTGTCTTGTGTAACTTGCTGAGCATGCCTCTTTGCCAGTTTGCAGCGTGCATTCGTGCTAGGTCCTTTTTCCAGAGAGCAACTTTAATCACTATATTGTCAAATACGCATAAGAATAGAACATGACGGGGAAACAAACGACTCAATTGCGGAACAAGCCGACCGCTCTGTCATGCTGCTCGCGCGCATGCATGTTGCAGTCCCAGACGCAGCCTTCATATGAGCATTGTGAAGGTTATACAAAAATAAACCTACTCTGTTTACTGTTCCTAGATAACGACAGTAATCATGCAGGGCCTTTTTCGTTTTTCCCGTTTCTGCCTTGCGGCAGCGCCTGGAGCGAACGGACATTCGACGTCAGGATCCCTGAACAATATGTTTCGGCGAATTAAATTCGGCAATCCTTTTGCAGATGATTACCCCGAATGGATCTGGAGAGGGCTGAAAAACAGCCGAAAGGGTAAAGATATGTTCGCCCCCTTCTTTAGGCTCCTGAATGCCACGAAGTGCGTCCCGTGATCACCGAAGTTCCGGGCCTTTTAGCGTTGTTTCCCCGTTAAACCCAGTGGATTCGCATTATCACAAGCCACATAAAGCCACCGAATGGCTTCAGGGCAAACACAGAGCCCTGAATTATCGCTGTTCAAGACTTAGCCTCCGCTGCATACCCCGCCGCAGGTTCTACGCTGCTACGCCGCAGCCGTGACTAGCATGTTGGTTCCGTCAATCAAAATGGAGCTCATAAGAGCACGTGCAACGGCAGCAACGTCACCACTGGAAAAAGCAGTCGACCCACTGGCAGATCGATGTCCTGTGCACCTTTTTCAGGATTTACGACTACGTGCTCAAGAACAACTGGTCCTACTGGATGTTCGTAGTCAGCGGGGGAATGGTCACTTCCTACGTCTGGAGCGAGACATGGAACAAAATATGGAGATCTGTAAACCGCGGGGTAGGTCCCAACCGCGCAGACTCACAGCGGATGACCTGCTTTTTGTTCGACCATAGCATACACTCCACCTATTGTGCCTTTCTTTGTTTGCAGAAGTTGTACAACGACGTGCCCTACGTCTACCCAGAGGAGGAGTAGCACCACTCGGCGCAGCGCTGCGCGTGAAGGCGTGCATGCCCCGTGTTTCTGTTTCCGTGACTAAGGTGTTCAGCTTGCATACCCGCGCAGTGCGAGCGCACACTTAGCCCTAGGCAGGGCAGAAAGGGGCATTATGGGCCAAAAATTGGCCGCTGCCGCTGCGTGGGCGCAGGTTGAAGCGCGGAGTGGCGGTGAGACGTGCAGCTCCTTTTATCAGCGGGTCCACCAGCTGCGCGTCTGTACGTGCAATGTTTAGTTTGTCAGAAGGCGAGGTGGCCAGTTCGCAACAGCCGCCCGGCAACAAAACCAGATACGGGAAAGGGCACCCCATGGAGTTCATACAGACCCAGCGAACTTGAAATTGAAGCAACTCCGCCAGCAGCGCAAAACGTGTGCGTTTGCTTGGCTGTGGATACTAAGTTTGGTAATTTTTTCACGTGTATGCATCTCAATTTTCGCCTGAAGATCTATGCCTTCATCTCCGCTCCTTACAAGGCAGAAGAATGCCGTTACCATGTTATAGAGTGGGCCGAAACGTAATATCACTGCGAAAGTAGCCGAGCCGACCTCGTTGCCAATATGCTGTGACTGCACCTACTTTCAAGCCGAAACAAAGACCTAAGAGCCGCATTGAACACCCCTGAACCCCACTTGCGCCTGTAGGTAATGTTCACACAAAACGAGCATTCCAACACTGCCGAAGGAACACCATTACTCGCGACTCGAGGCCGCAGTGGCTCAAAAAGCGACAACTAGCGATGAGCGCAGAATCAATTCGCCGCTGCCCCACTGCGGGAGCACCGAAGTAGGGTGAATGCAGTAGTGCACTACTGGAAACCTCAGTCCCACGAAAAAACCCCAGCACCCCGTAGCGCCAGGAGCATCCGGGCGGCACACCTTCACTGTGCGCGCAGGCAGTTCACAGACAAAACCGCTGCCGCGCCTGCGGCGAACAGGCAGCCGGCGAACTGCGCTCCTGCTGCAGCTTCGTTCGGTCGCCCTTTAGCTGAGATGGCCGGTGTGAAGTTGCACGGCTGCGAAGCCAAGAAAAGCACACGCAACGTCCCTGGCTCTTCAGTGTGTTCAGGCACGCATATACGGCCAGTTCGACGCGGCCACGTGGCTCTGCCGTCAACAGCGGCCCAAGACGCCGCCAGGCGCTCCTTCGCCTCCTCTGCCAACGGAAGACAGGGATGAAGCCAAACACTCTACGACGCTGGGCAGCAGCAGCTGCACAGGCTCTGGACACACCCTAGCCTTAGAGTGGCAGAGATGGAGCGACGTAGGCAGTTCGTCAAGCTACAATGCTGCTTCAGAGGAGGGAAAAGAAAAAGCAGTGCAATGCATGCAGTTGCGTTGTCTTATTGTAGATCGTTCGCAGCTGGAAGCAAAAGACGGCGATTGGAGGAGGGGGAGGGGCAGCAACCGCTGGGGAGGCGGTTGCTGTAGTTGCTGTTGCTGTTGTGGTGCAGCAGCGTCGGCCCTGTGGCTCCTGGGAGGCCCCGCTGGCAGCGCGGTGGGCTCCACCTGGGGATCTAAATTTTGTTAATTGGTAAGTAATAAAGGAACACGAGTTAAGGAAACAAAAAGGGAGAAAAGAGGCTATTGGGAAGGGCCCCAGCGGCAGTCCGACGCAGCCAACAGGGCGTCAGATCACCCTGGCCCTGTGCCCTGTGCAGAGGGGGGGTCCATAGGCGTTTCTATTATGTCTTAGGGCGGCTTAAAGACAACATGAGGGCTTAATTGGGCTCTGTCTGTCTCTGCTGCACCCTCGTGTACCCTGCTGCTGCTGCCCACGCAGAGGCTACTGCTGCTGCAGCGCCTCTCTCCTCAGAAGCGACAACACGCCCCCCTACCCCGCGCTCTTTCTTTCTGCAGCCACCGTCAGCGGGCGCAGCTGCGTGCGCAGCTTATCCGAGTCTTGCGGCTGCTGCGTCATCTGTTTGTTGTTCTCTAATCCGTCACTTTCCCCTTCTCGCCAACCCGTAGGTTCCAAACGCAGCAGCAGCAGCCCGCGGCCTGGACGTAGCAGTAGCAGCAGCAGCAGACGCCCGGCTGCCGCTGCAGCCTCAGCAGCTTTTCACTCACGCTTTTACTCCAGCACCTCTAACCCTTTCTCCGCGGCCTACAATTCATGCAGCTCCCGCCGACTGTGGGCACCGCAAGCCCCATAACGCCTGATGGCTGCGGCCACCTGCCACGCCAGGGGAGCACCAGCAGTGCGTGACGGCCCTCTTCAGGTGGGCGACTTCATCTGACTGCCTCACCAGACCCTTGGCGGCGCATGGTCGTCGCCTCCATTCTTACCAGCACTTCGGCCCTATTCCACTGCAGAAACGCTGCCACGAAGGGCCTGCTTTCGGCCCTAGAAAGCGGAAACAGCAGCGGAAGGGGTAACGGAAGGAGCAGACACGGTTAGGCCGATACGTTGAGCTGCTGCTTAGCAGCAGGGAGTGACGCCTGTGGTGTATCTGCACCTTGGAGCGTCCATCCTGCTGCGGTCGGCACTGCGCACCGGATCCAAGTCATTATGTCCCTGTTGTTTCACTCACGTGTTCTGTGATGTGCGTATAACGAGCCGAGGGCAGCAGCAAAATGGTGGGCAGTGGCAGCAGCAGCCGCAGCGGTAGCTGCGGCGGCAGCGGCCGAGGCCGGGGTCGGCCGCAGCGGTCCTGCGCCTCCCGCGATTCTGGGGGTGACGATTTGCTTGCAGGGTCGCACATAGGTGCAGTAGGACGGCGGCGGGGCGGCGCCATGTGGTGCCACATATGCCGCGACAGCGTCAGCCGCAGCGAGGACTCGGTGGTGGAGTGCACAGCGTGTCCTAAGCGGTTTCACCTGGAGTGTTTGCAACAAGAAGGTATCGTAGCGCCGGGACAAGTCGTCGACTTGAACACTTGGCTGTGTCCGCAGTGCCTAGAGGAAGCAGAGGAGGATGAGATGACCAACGATGATAAATGCTTTCTTTGCAGAAAGGCAAGCTTGCACTGAGCCATCCTGTGACACGTTCGATGCAGTAAACTCACCCACTGTACAAGTTAAACCGGCTGATGCAATTTCATGGGCTGTGTATTCTTGGGAGAGAGTTATGACAGTGGGACCGTGCGCTTGTTCGTTTCTTGGTCTTTTTGCCAGTGATGTGATGGTTCTTCATGGGTCTGTTCAGTTTTTTGAACTGATGTTATGTTTTTCAGTCAGACATCGAGGATGAGTCGGGTGGCAAGTTGATAATGTGCGACGGCTGTCCGCACTCGTACCACATGTCGTGTTTGAAGTTGACGATAGAGCCAGACGAGGAGAAGTGGTTTTGCCCCGATTGCAACCCCTCTGCGTTCAACACGGATGAGATACGCAGGCTGGGTAGGGGCTCCACGGCGCCCAGAAGCGGCGACACGGTGAACAGCAGCACATGTTACGTGTGCCAGAGGCCGGGGAAGCTTCTGGGATGCGATTTCTGTGTTAATTCGTTTCACCCTTCTTGTCTGGTCGATGTTGACTGGAATTCGATCGGGGAGGAGTGGGAATGCCCGGTATGCAAGGGCTTTGATCCACTGGCTAATCAAATGCACAAAAGATGGACGCGACAAGAAATTGAGACGAAGAAGAAGGAAAGGGCAAAAAACTACGAAAAGTTCAGGAGCAAGATTATGAGATACAGAAATAGATTCCTTGTTGTACACCAGAAAGACCTTGGGCCCTTCGTAAACCCCAAGATTCTCCAGGCTCTCGCCAGAACTTTGAAGGGTATGTTCCTGAGCTGGAGCTGAAGTCGTCAAGGCAGCATAAGTTCGGCGCGTGTAGCTTGGCATGGGGAATGATCACAGTGGAAGCTATTGGAGTGTAAGGAATGAAATTTGAGTGTAGGCAGTTAATCACTGTGGGCTGCGTTTGCTCGTGTGTTGTTGCTGCAGCGAACATCGCAGGCCCGACTTCCCGGAGGGGGCGTGGAGGCGGTGCTGGTGGATCCCGTTTGTGCGTCGAACGGTCGTTGTCAGATGTGTTGGAGCAGCTGGAGGATGAGGCTGCAGAAGAAGCTGAGAAGTTTACAAGAAGAGCCTACAGGTCGTGCCGTCACGCGTCGGGACGTCCGATCAAGGGCTTGCCTTTAAGAGAGGGAATCACTTTAAAGCCTCATCAGGAAGAAGGAGTTGATTGGCTGCTTCGCTCATTCCTTACTGGAGGCGCCATTTTGGCAGATGAGATGGGTGAGCTTGGAGGGATGCTGCGCTGACTCTGACAAGTGGAGTTGTGCGTTGTTGCTGTCCCGGTTGCTTTTAGCGTGGAAGTCTGTTATTGCTCGCTAGTCATCCCACTGTTCGTGTCTTCGTTGGATTTCCAGGTCTGGGCAAGACTATTCAGACTTTGTGCTTTCTGTCCTACTTGAGCGCCATGAAGGTGGACGGGCCTCACTTGATTGTCGTTCCTCTTTCGACTGTGGGAAATTGGCTCCATGAGATACATCGCTTTACGCCGTCGCTGACTCACATTAAGATCTGCGGCTCGCGAAATGAGCGGCAGCATGCCATGCAAGACCGCCGTAAGCCTCTTGAGACCCATGCTCGCATCTGGTATATTAATGCTGTTTTCTTATAGCAGCTTTTACCGGCGATGTCGAGGATGATGTGCTTGCGCTTTCAGTTGCGTCGAAAGGTTTGTATGACTTGTACGTCACGACGTACGAGACTGTAAAGAGCGAGGAGGAGTTTTTCGTGGAGCAGATCCCCCATTGGCAGTGCATTGTCCTTGGTAGGCTTTATAGTAGCATCGGCATCCCCCAAACGAAAAGCACCTTACTAGAAACAAGAGAATGGGAACCCGTTGTATTTGTGCTGCAGCAGTTTCAATTACTTTTGGTAGCGAATAGATCGCACTGTCTTTAGAGCTCTTGGGTACCTGGAGCATACGTTGCGGTTTATATAGTGCTTGACCTACTTTTCTGTGGCGTATTTTTTGTGTCTGGCCGCAGATGAGGCGCATCGCATAAAGAATGCTTCGGGTGCGATTCGTCATTCCCTGGATAGGGTGCAAGGAAACATGCGCCTTTTGCTAACTGGGACGCCGCTGCAGAACAATGCTCAAGAGTTGTTCACCCTCATCAACTTTCTAATGCCCGATGTGTTCAGAGATTCCCTCGTCATTGAACAGGTTTGCGCAGCTGCTGTCTCCCCCTAGTGATTTAGTGCACGGGCGGGATGTTTGCCGGGCGCTATCTTGCCGGGCGCTATCTGGTTTTTATGGGCTCCGTGCTCTTCATAGGCTGCTACATATCCCCATTGGGGCTCCTTAATGAAAGTGGACAGATCGTATCCTTTTGTGTATTTGTTCCTGCGATTTTGCAGGCATTCGCACAGAATGCGAAGTCTGCTGCAGGGAAATCTGGGGGAAAGCAGCCGAGGGGTCGCTCTAAGGCGGCGGCACTAGCGGAGATGGATGTGGACACAATGTTCAAGCAGGAGGACTTGAACAAGATCCGGCAGTTGCTCGATCGAGTGATGTTGCGGCGGCTCAAGGAGCAAGCCATCGCACTTCCACGCAAAGTGTTTCATGACATTTGGCTACCTATCTCAGACTTGACGGCCCAGTGGTACCGCAGGTTGCTAGAAATCAAGTCTCTGCAGGAGGAAGCCAGATCGAATTCAGCGCGTGTCAACTTCAGAAAGATGTTGGGCCTTGTCATTAAGATGAGGATTCTTTGGTAAGTTCGTTAGGCATGCCATGAATTCTTTGTTTCCTCCTTGCTGCAGTAGCGCGGATTCGTCTCATGAACAGCTGGCAAACTCGGCTCTTCGTGTGCTCCCGATACTCTGCTAGTCATGTCAATATTGTCTCTGTGTATCATGTACATTCGCAGCGCTCACCCGAAGGGTGTTTGCGCTAGAGAGTCGCAACTACAGCGGCTCCAGGCTTTTTTCAGCCAAGAGGATCCGGCACTGCAGGAGGAGGTGACGAGAGCAGCACGGGAGCTGCAATCTGTTGAAGGAGCGGCACACCTTGCTGGTTCTTCTAAGTTATTGTTTTTAGACAAGCTTATGTGTCATCTCCACTACCTGAACTGCAAATACGTGCCGGCTTACGAGGTAACTGATAGTCTGCCCGTAGTGCTATTCTGTTTTTCTTCTTGTCTGTTCTGTTGAACAGGCGCTGCGCTCAGACCTACTTTCAAATTCGGTGAACTGCTTCTTCTTTGTGTCGTCTTGGGTGTGTTCTCAGAGAGACTACATGGCCCATAAAAACGACGCGGCCACTTACGAATTCTACAAGCGCCATGAAGAGGCAGTGTTGGCAGCCTTGGCTGAAGGGAGGAAGCCCCCGAGGCGGCCAAAGAGAAGCGAGCTGATAGGCATCCCTGAGTATAGGGCTTTGTTAGAACGGGGCATGCCAAGCAGGGATCTGACAACCGCCAGGGACGAATCGTTCCTGAAAGAGGGGCTTTATGCTGCTGAGCCAGTTATGCCAACAAAAGAATCATGCAACCCTGAGCTGCAGGAGAGAAAACGCGGACAAGGAGAGCACGACAGCGTATCGGATAATGAGGGTGCAGAGGAACAAAGCCAAGAAGTAGAGGGGGACTTATCAGACGCAGACGTAGCTACCACGCCCCCAGAGGACCAGCCCAGGAGCAGAGCTGAGCGGCGCTCTAGGCGACATCTAATAGTGGATGAGGAGGACCTGATGCAGACGGACCCAACTTGTGCAGCTCAGGACTCGCAGGAACCGACAGCAACGGGGGCAGTAGCCAAAGGGGAAGCTGATGGTGCAGCTTTAACCCCAGCCGCTCCCGTCTCCCAGGAAGATGGTGCTGATAGTGAAAAGGCGCAGCTTAATGTGAAGAGTCCCGTTGCGTCAGAAGCGAAGCGCGAGGGGGATGACAAGAGCAACATGCCGACTGCCTGCTGTACAGGTAGCCCCGCTAGCCACAAAGACCATAAGGAAAGTGTCGATGCACTGGATGCTCAGCCGATAAAGACAGAAGATGGTCCGTCTCCTGCGCGCCAGACAGAGGTGAACGAGACCAAAAAGGAACTTCCTTCCGGAGTGCCGGCAGCAGCAGTTCAGGTTTCAGAAGGACACGCGAAGCAACAGGACTCTTCCCCTGAGAGTGAGCGCAGTGATTTTAAGAGCAATGGAGGAAAGACAGCGAAGGCTGACGCCGCGAGCACTCCCAGGGTACAGAGGCTGCTGATCTTTACGCAATTTCAGCTTGTTTTGGATGAATTGGAGGCATATTGCAAGTACAGGGGTTGGAGGTACCTTCGGTGAGGCAACCTAAATTGGAAGAGCAGCATGCATACGTATAAATGCTTAACCACAGTTGAACTTCATATTGGATCTCTTCGCTTCAGAGGTGTCATCCCCAGTTATATCTCATTCATTGATAATTCAACTCTGCTTTGGTTTTCTGCATTTATTGGTGGTTGATGCAAGGGACCGTAATGCCAGATATCATATGGCCAGGTTTCCGGGTGTTCGTGGTTGATTTTTTGTCCTTCTTACAGATTGGACGGATCTACGAATAAGTTTGTGCGGGAGCTGGACATCAGGGACTTTAACAATGACAATACTTGTTACTTTGTATACCTAATTTCCACAAGAGCAGGAGGCCTGGGCATTAATCTGACAGCTGCCAACCACGTCGTTATCTATGACCATGACTGGAACCCTTTCATTGATTTGCAAGCCGTTGATAGGCAAGCTGTTTCCTTAATTAATCCCATGATGTGCCTGCCGTTTCTTCCGTGGAATTGCACATCTTCCTCTGTGTTTTTCTCTGTATGAACGATGATTAGACGCCGCTTGCTTACATGTAATTGCCTTCATGCTTGGGCCCCATAGACTTTGTTCACTCCGTCCCGAGGCAGAAGGCATTACATTCTGCTTTTGTTGCGGGCATACAGAGCTCATCGTATCGGACAGCAGCGGGAAGTTCACGTGTGGTCTCTGGTCAGTGAATGGACGGTTGAAGAGCGCATGGCATTCCGAAGGGAACAGAAGCTGCGCCTGGACAAACTACTGGTGCAACAGCAGATAGAGGAGGAAGCATTGGCCCTTGACGGGGAAGACGGAGAAGACATCAAAGAGCATAGATCTGAGAAGATATCGACGGACGAAGTCCGGAAGCTGATGCTTCATGGGAAGAAAGCTATTGTGGTGCGCGATCTTGTGTATCACCAGTTGCGAAGTGCATGCCTTCTGCTTTCCAGCGTGGGTCGGGGCTGCAGTGAGGGTGACTGACAACGGGATGGTGGTCTTGCCCGGATTTTGTTTTATCCGCTTGCGAGTTTTGCGGCTTTCTGGTACTGTGCTGCAGCAAGTTGCGGCAACGGGCACTGAGGATATCTCAAACCTGCCTTTGGAAGACCTAACCTGCCGATCTCGTCAGCCTCTCCCAGTGCTTGGAGAGGACGAGGAGCCATTGGGAGCTTCGGCTTCGTTCGAGGAAGACCTGGATGAGAAAAATTTAGTTGATATAAACGAAGTCATGGATGAAGAGGCGGAGGAGCGCCGCAACCAGCAACAGCTCGTAGAGGGCACTGAGGAGCCCGCGGCTCCAGAGGGTCCTTGCGATGCCCCTGGGGCGAAAACAGGCACAGAACCTGAGGAAGCGAAACCCAGCGGAAGCACTTCTCCCTGCGGTGCAGAGGAAGAAGTGGAGCTGTGTGAGGCTTCATCAGGGGCTCCACCCAAGGGAGGCCTGGAGGCTGAGTTGCAGAGTGCAGGAGTATTATGGCGCTCTGGAAGAGAGCGTAAGAAACCTGTCGCGCTTTACGTCCCACAGGAGTTCACGCAGCGGTGAGCGGAAGTAGTGGTGACTGCTTCAAGCCGCAGGTGGTTTTCATGCTTCCCATATTCCTCGCGTCTAGAGAGAGTGTGGCTGGTGGTTGGTTTCTATGTTTTCCTGTGGTGAGGTTGCTTTATCGAGTCTTTGTGTTGCAAATGTTTTGCGTTCATGGGTGGACGCTGTCGAGATGTTGCTGGTTATTTTAAGCTTACCGTTACATTTGTTTCGCATGGTGCTTTCAGGGAGGAGCGTCGTAAGCTACGTCACGAGACGCGGTGCTTTGTGTGCGGCAACGGGAAGGACCACGTGCAGACATCTGTAGACCGAGAAGGAAAGCCTGTGGAGGTGGCTTATGGGGATTTGGTCTGTTGCAGTGGCTGCCCCAAAGTGTACCATCGCTGCTGCGAGGGTCTGCCGAAGGATGTTAAGAAGAGCTGGCGCTGTCGCTGGCACGAGTGCGGTCTATGCTTTCGGAAAACGTCACAATGCGGCAACATGCTCGTCCACTGCGCCCGGTGTCCCACGTCATTCTGCTACGATTGCTTCCCTCCGGACTATTGCCGCTACAACGTTGGCGAGGACTATTACATGCAGCTTAGACAACGGGGCATGAATGTAACCCCGCAAAATTGGATTTTGTTTCTCTGCTCCAAGTGCAAAGCCGTGGAGGAGCAGCAGACTCGTCGTCGGCTGACGAAGGAGGAAAAGGACCATGAGAAGTTGATGCAACAGGAACTACGGCAACAGCAGCGGCAGCTGCATCTCGATGGCGCAAGGCTGCGACTTGAGAAGGATGAGGTTAAGCATTTGCAACGTCAGAGAGCAGAAGAGGAGAGACGGTGGTTTGATCACAAGCAAGCGGTGGATCGGTTGGACGAAGCAGGTGAGATTGCGTTGAGGCAGGCGTATCAACGTCTTTTCCCTGCTGCCTTTCTTGCGGAGATTGAAAAGAGATCCGCTGCAGCAAAAGCAGCGCAAAGAGCATCTAGGGAGGCTGCTATTGCAGAAGCAGTGAATGCTGCTGCTGCCGCTGGAACCGACGGCCAAGCGGCATTAGCGTCGGCAGCGGCGGCAGCAATAAAGAAGGCATCCAAAAAGCCCACAAACCAGCTAGCAAACATGAAGCTACCCTCACAAAGTCTCAGCGTTTGTGACAATTGCCGATTTCCCTGCCATGGGGTAAAGGATTACCCGGGCCCGTGTTGCTTTCCCGATGAAGTGATACAAAAATTTGTGGCACGAGCGCGGCCTGTGTCCCAGACAGGGCAGGAGCAGACAGGAGGACATGCAGGCACAACGGGGCCTACGGATGGCGTGATTGACGTGGATGCTTCCCCGGCTGATGGGGCTGTGAAAGAGGGCTCAGACGTTTCTGCTTCGCCTGGCATCCCACAAAGCGCGCTGCGGGCACTGGCGAGCTCGGCTGCTTTGCTGCAAGGAGGATACAGTGAGGCAGGAGCCGCTGCGTCGGCGCCATCGGTAGCAGGCAATGACCAGAGGGTGAAGTACATGCAGAGGCAGGTCTGCGCAGCGTGCCACGAGTGGCGCATTGGGAAGAGGTCTCACACGAGAAAGCACTGCCCCACGCTTACTCCTGGACAGTTGCAGGAGGTTCGTTACTATGTCCATGCGCCATTGAACCTCTCAGTTTGCCCTGTTTTCCCCGTAGCGTGTCTTCGGTCTTTTTGTAGTGGTGATAGCTGGGCTAGGTTTTGTTGCTGACAGGACAACTCCATTTGCTGTGCGGTGTTTCGTTGCTTCAGTATGACGAACGGCGAGCGAAGATGCGACGTGTCGCGGAGTTGCTGCTGGCGAGGGAGCCTATCCCCGACCCCAACCCGTGTGTCTATGCGTCAGCATCCCCCCAGCGACTCAAAGCTTTCTTTCAGCAGTACCAGGAAGCGGTGAGGTGGCGCAGGGATCACTTTTCAGCTTCCCATTTGGTTTTTATTTTACGAATTGCACATTGGGCCTCTGTGCCGGCAAGCATGCACCTACGACAGCACGTCTTCAATAGCATTCAGCGCAAAAACACCCTATTGTGTCTTCGTGCCTTGATTTCGTGATACTATAGGATAAGGATAGCCCTTGCTCGTTTTTGCAATGTACATGCAGGCGGACAAGGTTTTGGAGGAGTGCATGGTAGCTGCAGGCCTTCAGCATGCAATCGCCTCGCGCTTTACCTCGGGCAAACGGGGAGTGCCCTCCCCTGCGGGATACGGCTCAGCAGCAACACCACAAGGAGCGCAGAGCGCGTTGCCTTCAATAAACAATGTAGCTTCCAACAAAGACCGTATATCGATGATCCTGAACCGCAGCAAGGAGCTGCTGCTCCTCAAGCGTCAGAAGGAACTGCAAGTATTGGCTACCCTCTCAGCTGCCAATGGACGAGCGCCAGGCGCATCTCTGGCCAACCTGCACAACGAGCAAAAGAAGCTGTTGATGGGTGTTACGGGAGATGGAGAAAGGTCTCTCATGACGCCTTCTGATACAAACAGCGAAGTTGAAGTGTTGGGGGTCGCAAAGGGTCAGCCAGTGCCGGGCGTTTCATCTGCGGCTCCGGCCGACAACTGTGTCCCACCTGCTGCTGCTGCAGCTATAGCAGCTGCAGATTGCGCAGCTAAGAGCGCCACGGGAAAGCGACACAGCATTGATAGACCCAACAGTGGCGCCCGCGGCGCCACCATCGCGGCAGCTCCTGTAATTGCGAAGAGGCAGAGGAAAACCATGTTATCGAAGACAGGGGAAGCGATGGCTGCGTGTGTGCAAGCTGCAGAGATGGGGCTTCCGGGCGCTGGGGGTTCCATTGCTGCGTCAGCTGTCGCGGCGGCAGTGAAGCAGAAGTCCATAATTGATTTTTTCACATCCAGGAACAGAGCAGCAGCTACTGGCGGCTCAGGGATGAAGCAGCCGTTATTGGCAGGCTCAAGAGTTCAAGGTGTCGCGCGTCCGGGAGGAATGCCGGTTGCAGCCTTAGCTCCATGGGGCGCCAAACAGGCTTCAGATACAGAGAGTGATTGATCCAGTCTGTGTGTTTCTGTGTTTGTGAAGCGGGCAGCGAGGGAGGCACAGGAGTGGCTCTTCATTAGCCTTTTGAGGAAGCGAAGGCGCCGTGTATAGTGAAATGCATACTCGGCGGCTGCGAGTCCACCAGTAGGGGACCCTAAAGCTCCAAACGAGGGACCGGTGCCTGTCAATGATTGTTTGGGCAACAATGCATGTTGTTGTTCACACGCCATGCAGCGTTCTTCATGCGAGGCTAACGCCCCAGGCACTTTGCGACATATGCGGACCATCGTATGATGGGCCTCGAAATATGGCCGCTCTCTTCAGGTGGCTGTGGCCTGAAAGGGAGCCTTAAGCGAGCCATTGCTCAAGTGAAGGGAGCGCAGAGCCAGCCACTGCTTATAAAAACAATGCTGGTTTTCGCATTGGCATTTTGCTTTTGCTGTTCCTTTCTTGTGTGCCGGAAGCACCAGGAGCAGTGGCAACGCTACCCGTGAAGTTCCTGGGTAGTTGTTTTCGAATGCCGGTGCAACTGCACGCGCATTTCACTGTTGGCTAGTGGGCGACGAAACTCGAATGGGGCCTGGCAGTGACCAGGATATTTGCGGCCGCAGTGACATTTTAATAGTGCACGCATGACTATTAATTAATGGAAGCTGTTTGTTCTAAAGCTTCAGATCCACTCATATCACCTGCATTGGTTCTAGGATAGTTTTACTTGTGCTGGCCATTGGGCGTGTAACAACTGTGAAGGGCGTGGGATGAGAGTATATCGGGAGCTCGGTAAGGTGGCCTGGTGTTGATAACTTTAGTGGATGACGAGGAAAATGGCATGGCTTTGTGTCTTGGAATGCCGAGCAATACAATGCATGCGAGAATCTCTCCAGTTGAGTGGAATGATTATGGCGTTATACTACAGGTGCACGTGTTTCTGAAGTGTTCTGTAGAACGCCAACAGCAACCTAGACTAGAGCGTTCGCTCCTAGATGACGCCATTGCAGGATGGTGGTGAACAGTTCAATGCACTGTGGAGATACGTAGTACAAGAACAGCAAGCTGCCAAGCAAAACCTTTTGTATGGACGTAGCGCGCTGAATAGTTTTGATGGCAAGGAATTTCTCTGATGTAGCAAGCGAGCACCCGGTTAACCTGACAAGAATGGTCTTCGGTAACAACAGCAATAGAAGTATGGTTACCTGAGCAGAGCAATTCCTGCAGAGTGTGCTGGAGTTCGTATCTCTTCTGATTTGGCTTTCTCCAGTCGCGAGCGGGTCAACTAGTTTCTGTGTAGTATCATTCTTCAATTCAAGTCTACGGAACGGAGCTCTGTAGAATGCATTTATACCTACGTGTACTTTACCCAGAACTTCACAGAACTCTCTGTACAGTGTGGTGGGGGAACCAACCCAGGTACCAACCCCACTGTGCCGTTAGATGCACCGTAGAAGTGTTGGTAAGGGAGCTTGATAGTGCAACATTGAAGAGCTAGTTTGTTTTACATTGGCATATGCGTAGAGAGGCAAGCTTCGGGAGTCTGTTGTGTCTCCTGGGGTTTTATTCCACTGTAGATGGGTTTCCAAAAAGAGCCTGCCACAGCTATGGGGAGCCAATGAGAGAGGTAAGGATACAATAGTAAAAGCTTCGTGGATTGCGGTAGCCTTGTGGTCCCTCCTCATCGTATTTTTTTTTTGATAATTGCTTTGGGGCCTATCTCGAGTGCAGCACAGCCAGCTGCAGCGAAACCGGGCCTTTGACGGAATGGAAATCAAAGTGCTCTTGACAAAGTCGAAGGGAGATCACGCCGATTATTAGCTTATCAGTGAGCATGCAAACTATTTCACTTAGGTTAGTAGAACGTGCGAGGCTGTCCAGGCCACGACAACATGGCCTTCGAATGTTTGTGTGCTTCCACTGCTCGGACCCTTCCAAATCGGTCACTGTGGCAATATAAATCCAGGCAACTAGATTTTTCTGAGAATATTCGGAGCTTCGCATGCGACAGCTCTACTACAGGGTGCTCTTTGTGGTGATCAGCTAAGTGTAAAACGTTCATTACTGTAAAACGCTCATTGGGGTGCAATCAGGTGACCCTGTGCACTGAGTACACGCGTTCCGCATAAACCATGAATCGGCCACTATATTATATAAATATCGCAAGAGTATCCTTGCAAGCAATATGCATGAGCATCCGAGCCTCAACGTCGATAACCGAGCGTCAGCGCCCACGCAGCCCCTTGTAAGGGCCCCGGTGTGAATCGGCGTGGCAGCTGCCGCTGCAGAACGGAACAACGCAAGTTTGCTGGCACTAAAGCTCTCTACTCCAACCTGAAGCTTAAAAACTAAGGAGTGGTTGTGCTCCACAGTCAGTTTTCTTGATAGTAAAACTCACTTCGGGAGAGTCTTAGGAGCAGACGTTGACTGATAGGTTTTCATACAAGACTCCAGAGCTACAGTTTGGCCCCTCTGTAAGTTAACAAGCAGCAATATAAATTAGCACTGCGCTTTTGGGCCCCATAAATAAGAATACGGCGCCTGAATGGCTCTAAAACCGCTTCGCGAGGTGCCGGATTCTGCGTCAAGAGGTCCCTTAGGCATCCAATTTCGCAAGGGCTTCCCTTTCTAGTAAAAAGATAGTAGAAGAAGAAACGAACAGGGCTACACAAATACGGGCGGCCATCGTCCCTTGGTGTAACTTTTGTAGTGGTGTGCCGAAATCACAGCCTTTTCAAGATGATGTACCCACCACGACAAGCCGCACGGAAGGACCCGTGGAAGACCACGTAAGTTGCTAATGCTAATATTGACATAGTTCATATTCCCACATAGTATACACGGCATGCACGTTTCTCTAGCAGTGAAAATGGCCCTATGAAGCTGCCAGTTTGGAGGGGGTGTTCTAGGATTTACGGAAGCCCTCTTCAGCCTAGCCGGTTTATGAGCCATTCACGCCAGCAGAAGCTCTTGCAAATGAAGAGAGAGGAAGAAATGAATCACCATTCGGTGAAAGTACAGAATATGACAGCAAAGGTAAGTTGCGTTATCCAGCTATTTCCTGCAAACGTAACGGGCAGCATCAGTTAACCTCTAATTATTTAAGTAGCCAGAACAAGCCATTAGAGGGTATGCACAAAAAGCGGAATTGCACCACGCTGCAAAGCCTACATTCGTTATTGGGAAAAACTAACTTGCTGATAGTACTCTCCAGAATGTGCTGCGCGCATAGTGGTTGGTGCTTCCCAGCCAGGCACGAACTCATAGACTAGAGCGCATTCCTCAATAGGTGTCAGCAACAAGTAGTAGTCCTACGAAGTAGTGAATGGGCACCGGTACTCTGCTTGAAAACGCAGCGTGCGGAGGGGAAGCCTGATCCACCCCTTGAAGCTGTTGAGGCCTCATCACCAGGTGAAAATACGGTTTCCCCGACGCCGCCACCAGAACAAGCAACTGATCCAGACGTGAGCAACCAGCATCAGCGAAACAGGCCACAGCTTCGGCCGTAAACGCGCGGCGAGTGTTGTTTCATCAAGCATCGACAGCATGCCGAAAAAAAGAATCTTCGGACAGCGGCAAGCCCTGGCCATCCATGAGTTTATAGTAACCACACGTTCAAGCCTTTAAAGAGACCAATCGAGTGCGCACATATTACTTTGCAAATTATGCCCAATGGCCAGGCTGGAAAAGCTAAAACTGAATCTCCTCCAATCACAGAAACGTTAGGCGGCACGGACGATGGGGCTTTATTGCACCATCGGAAGACTACAAAGGAGCTTACCGAAGAATTCAAAGACTTGAATGTAGGGAGCACGTTCTTCAGACAACACTGAAAAATGTCGTAGTATGATTCACTGGCGCTTCACAACAGCAAGGAGCTTGGATACTTGCGTGTGCTACTATCCTGCGTAATGTTATTTACTTTTGACACGACCGTCGCCTAAAACTAGATTATCCAGAACCCTTGCTTTGTGTTATTCATAGTGGGCAGACGTTGATGAGTATAATTCTTATAAGGGAAAGCTGGAGGAGCAGGCACTCTCTCAAGAACGTGTGAGAAGGCAGAATTGGTTGCGAGGAGAACTGGAGGCTCAGCTTAAGGAGCAACGGTGAAAATCAAACAAACGTTAGGCTACTATTTGTTCCCTGGACATAACCTAGGCATGGGCTCAATTGCTGAAATCGGCGGAATTCGGTGCAACTCGATTTTTTGTCCTAGTGATCCCTCAAAGCAGATTCAGCTGAAGCACAGAATATGTAGTAGCGCTAAGTAGACACTGCTTCCCTTTTGAAGGCACCAAAAAGAAGTCCAAAAGCGAGAAGAGATTGAATGCGCAAGGGAGTTACGAAAGGAGCTGGACTTGTGGAAGTGAGTACCCAACTGAACAGGATTTACAACAGGCCACGAAGCTATTCCGAAGAGCAACCAGAAGCTGCATCTGTTCATGTCGTACTTTGCTCGCAGGGCTCAAGAGCAGGAAAAGCAGAAGAATGCACTTGAAAAAATGCTACATCAAAAGGAAGTTCTTGATGCGCAAATGCAAGAACGCCAAAAGCTTGAAGAAGTGAGTGGCAGTGGCTTGCTTCTTCATGCATTTTCGCATTACCCACTCAAGGACACTAAGGCGAGGCATGGATGACTCCACTAGAGGCAGAAAAGCTACACAAACTCAATTAGGCACATAACCTCTGAAGCATCGTTTATGACTTATCTGAAACCGATGACGCACAGGAATACAAAGCGGAGCAACTACGAGAGAGCCAAGAAATCCTCGAGCAGGTCTCAAGGCACATGGAGCTAGAGAAGCGAACGGCTATAAAAGCAAAGCAGCAAAAAGCCCGCGCGATGCAGGAAATTTTGGAGGTTAGCATTTTCTCATGTTCAGAGCTGACAATGCCGAGCTGCCTTCTGGTCTTTACCGCTATAAATGCGTTGCATGACCCACGGCTTGCAGACAGCATCGCCTTACTGGTTATGTCGAAGACAAGAACTAGCTTCCAACAGGCGAAAAATAGTCCTACGAGCCAATTTAAGTGGTTTAATAGAGGCGTTCTCAGGTGACTGCTGCGGAACGGCGATTGGCTGAAGCACGTGCAAAGCAGGAACAAGAAGAAGATATGCGTCTGTTGAAGTTAAGCGTCCAGTTGGAGAAAGAGGCAGCAGAAAGGGCTAGGCAAGAACGCCAAATGCTTCTGGATCTGCATCAGAGTCGTGCCGACAAAATCGCCATGCTAGCAACCATAGACAAGGCAAGGAAATCTTACTTGTTAGGCTCGAGTATTAGTTTAGAAAAGTTCAGACGTCAATGTCACATTACCGCCCGTACTGAACTTGCACTACAGACTTTCCACACAGCATATGCTTCTCTATGACCAACGCCAATCATTTCGGATTACCAAGATATTTACAGCTCGTTAGCTTGGAAGCTCAGTTGCGAATGAGCTGTACTGAAACACCTTAACAGAAGGAATTAGCGACTTTAAACGCGCTTAAGCGAGACGCGGAGGACCAGGCTCGTCGTGACATTCTGGAGAGGGAGGCAGCAGAACGAAAGAAGGCGGTGACTCATGCCACTGACCACATTTTCCCAAAGGGCGAAAGCCCTCCAGAAATATGCCTGGGGAGATTGCGCTGTGCAAGTTCTTCTTAAAAGCAGCGTTTGATGTTGTTACAGCTTTTCCTGCGACTGTGCATCCACTTGACGTGAACATAGGAACAAATGAAGGTTCATGAATACTTGAAGATTCAGCAGCAAGAAAAAGCACGCCAGAGAGAAGCCGAAAGACAGGAACGCTACGAGTTGCAGAGATTGCAGGAGATTGATGCACAGGTGTGTAGGCACGAACCATGTTCAGGCTGCGGATTTTCCGTTCTGGCACTCCCTGTTCACCACTTTTTCACGAGCTGCCGAATGTGCTGCTACTCTGAGCTATTTGGCGGCCACAGGAATATAAGAAAAAGCAAGAAATGGAACAGCGTAGCAGGCGCGAGCTATGCAAGCGCCAGCAAGAACTTCTCGTTAAGCAGATGGAAGAGCGCAAACTTAACAAGGATATTTTAGTGGGTTGCGCACCTTTGTAGACGGTATTGAGCAAGACGACCTGACAGTCTGCGTAAACCTTTCTTACTTCACGTTGATGCAAAGAAATGCACCCCTTTGCACACGCTGAAGCTTTGCAACATTGCTCTGAATCCCTTCACTAGATATATCTCTTGCAGGTTAGTCAGACAGAGATGAAGCTGAATCGCCAACTTCTTGAAGAAGTCAACGACTATCTACTTCACAAACCACGCCCTTCGCAGGAGGTTCAGTCAATCACATCACTTTACTGAACGGACACCGCTCCTGTTGCTGCAAAACTAACCAGGCGTGATAAGGCCGCAAAGTAGCCACGATGCCACCTTCGTCGATGGCTGAAGCTTTTACAGGGGCAACCGTTTCTATTCGGGCAGATGATTTCACAGAGAATAGGCATTTTGACATTGCTGACAATTGATGTGACGGTAATTCTAACCTAAGTGCGTGCATCTTATTATGATGAGTTGAGCACTAAGCAATCATTCTCTAGCTGAAGACGCGTTCCATAAAGCTGCACCTAGCTCAGAAAAACGCAGCTATATTATGCACTGAACTCGGGAACGACGCCCCGCGTTGGTGTCAGAGCATGCAACTATGGGGCCACGGGCTTTGCCAAAATTTTCTCCGCAGAACTGAAAGGAGAGTAAAGTCCTGTCACAGCTTAACAATTTTAGCAGCTCTAGTGTGTTGACAGACCAAACCTGTCCAAATGTGAACAAAAGCCACAACGGCTGCGGGGTTCTGTCAAGCTGATGAAGTAATCTAAAAGCACTTGTCATGTGACAACTGGGGTAACAATGCTACTAGAGCATTGCCTAGAGTGTTACTGATTATAGAGTGCAAATGAGAAGCAAAAGGGATCCCAACAAATGCACGCGCTGGCCTGGACAGCTGGATCAATGTCAAGCATCACTCGAGCATCCGCAGAAGGTGCAGCCCTCAGTTATTATTTACCTTCTTAGTAGGTGAGCCAAAACGCGTTTTCATCATGTTGATGCGAGACATCTTGTAGTGCTGATGGGTGTTACCAAACGCGCCTACAATGTCCTCAACTTTTGGCGGCGGAGGTATGTGAGAGAAGTCAAGCGGCTTTATAATTCGGCTGCCCATGTATACTTTTGATTCTTCATCGCGCTCATGGATGCTCGGAAGAGCACCGGGGGAAGATGGAGCTGGCTGGCTTGTTGGAGGGTACAGGAATACTGTGGGGCCTTTTTCGTGATTGTGAGAGGGTACGTACTCCCAAACGCCTGGCATCGTTGCGGATTCCACAGGCAACGGCTGCTTTTCCTGGGTCTCGCTCTTTTGGCTCACGCCTGCAGTGGTGTGAGCCTGTGGCTTGGCAGCTGAAATCTGATCCTGCGGGACTTTTACTACTGTTGAAGTTTCAATGGCTGGCCTTTGAGGGGGCTCTATTCCCTTTACTGCATATCGCGCTTCCTCTATTGCGCGTTCAGCTCTTGCTTCTTGAATTACCATATTCTGAATCACTTTATTGGCTGTCTCCACTACATCCACAAGCTTGCTTTCGTCTTTCAGTGCACCTGCTTCAGTCGCTGCCAGCAGAACACCATCCCTGACATCCTTCTCAAATTTCTGTCGTTCTTCATGGAGGTAATTGTACTTCGCAGCCTCTATATCTTCCAATTTTTCTTCTGACAGCACGGGAGGAGAGCTAGCTGACCCCAAAACAATCAGGCTGCTCTGGTTGTCAGCTTTTAGTGAGCGCCTGCGCTCTGCTGAGTCAATGTAGAAAAATGACTTAAATAAAGGCAGTGGAGCATGATTTCCTTTTTCATCATGCACCAGTTGGGACACGTTGACAAACTCGCCAGGTGCCGTGCCTGAAAGTCCGGGGATTCGATAAATCATAGTTCGCTCTATGTTCTCAATACCATCTTCGGGTTGGCTGGCAATCTCCTCACACACAGATTCGTCCTCTTCGAAATCTAAATCTTGTTGGGCGCACCGAGCATCCAATATTGCCTTTTCACGTGCAGCTTGCGCTCGCCGTTGACGCACCTGCTTGCTCTTCTCCGGAATGGCCCTAAGTGGGTCATCTAACATGATAAGCGGCAAATACTTTGATGGCATGACTCCTTGGGGAGGCATGTATGCCATTTCGGCAGCCATGCTCCCTGGGAAAAGTCGGCGCCCCTGTACTGCGGCTTCTTGCATTTCTTTAGCGTATTGATGAGCCCGCTGGACAGCCATTGCAGCATCATTGATGACGCAATCATCCACGCCAGCCAACATGAACTTCGCGAGAACTCCCTCAGAATGAGAAGCAGTCACATCTTTTATTTTTGCTCGAGCAGCAACTTGAGCTTTGATAAGCTCGACATGCTCTCGCATTCTCCTGTTCCTCTCCTGTAACGCCCTGAGGCGCTCCTCCTCCGCCTGCCGACTCCGCTCTTTCTCTTGAGCTGCTTTCTCGAGTGCCTTCTTTCGTTCCGATTCTCTCTTCTCGAGCTGCTCTGCAGCCTGGATGATAGTGTACTGCGCAGTGTGTGCATACCGGTGCAAGACAGACAGCTGAGGAAGATCGCCCTTTTCGTGGCAGCGCTGTAAGTATGCATAGGCTTCAGAAAAGGACAAGAACGCCTCATCCCAAGAGCCAAGGCAGTCCTTTACAATCTCCAGTCTCCCGATTTTCACCCAGTGCTCGAATGTAGCCCACCGCCCGTTGAACAGCAAAACGCGCATCAGCGAAGCCACTAGAGGCGCGCAATCCACGTGAAGCGCCTCCCTTGTGGTTGTTTCCACGAATTTAATGAACACTTCTGCATGTTTGAGTGATCTGTCAAAAATAGAGTCCCTCACCATACCTCCTACCCACTGTCCAAGATACAGTTGGGCCAGCAGCAAGTTGCAGGCTGCATACAGCCAGTGCTGCGTACCCAAAACAACTTCGATGCTTTTGATCAAAGAAGCGACGTCTACTGTCCACTGCGGGGTTGTAGGGAAATTGAACTTGCTCTGCAACTTCACGTAGAGCCTCTCAAAGTAATCTTCCATGCCTATCGGCATATCGTCATCAGTGAAGCGGCCACTGCATGAACTGCATATCCAAATGCCGTTGCCGTTTCTTTGACAGTACATTGGAGGAGGAGGCGGCTCGATTGGTGCTACATATTCAGCAGTTGCAGTAGAGCTACACTCAGCATTGCTGAGAGACCGCGCTGATTGGTCTTCACTTTGTGACTCTGCCTGTCCCAACTCTGTGCTTTTGCTGGCACATGAATTCATGGCATATACAGACAGCATCAATGAAGTAGAGGTATGTGCCGACAGCTTGCCTGAACCGAACAACTTCTGTTTTGTTTCACAGTCAGACATTTCCTCGGGCGACCGGTCGCTGTTTGAGGCGCTGTCTGTGAAATCATTGGACCCTCGAGTGCCTTCGTCGCTTGCCAAAAAGCCCTCGCCGAAGTCACTCCTTTCTTCATCTCTGCATTCGGAAGGCGAAGATCCCACATCAAGTAAAGCAGCATCGTCTTCTCCTGCTGGCTCAGATGCTGCAGAGCGTCCCATTTCATCGTCACTGGACTGCATGATGGGCTTGCTTTCGTCGTCAGAGGACTGTATGATGGGCTTGCTTTCGTCGTCAGAGGCCTGGGCAGAAGTGTCCTCTCCGTCAGTTGTGCCTGGCTCCACAGGAGAAAATTTCCTGTCGCCTTGGGGCTCCTTTTCCTCACATGAATCCTCTCGTTTTTTTGTGTCTTCAGCAGCAACGTCACTTGGCGGAGGTGCAGTAGGGACGTCTGCCCCAGAGTCAACAATTTTCAGCTTTGTAGGACGGCATGATGGGCACAGTATTCGCCTTTCTTTTTCCTTCATAGAACCACAACGGGTGCAATTGCACGTGAAGCATTTAGTATGCAGAAGCCGCTTGTTGCGGAATGCAGCCGAGGTGTATAGCTGATCAATGTATGACATTGTTAATTTCTCTCCACGAGATATGTCGCGAGTCGCAAAGTAAACCAAGAGCCCTTCAAGGTTGCGGTAGGTGACATTTGGCTCGCATGAGTGATTCACCTTTGCAGCCTTGGGGTACAAACCCCATCGGCCTTCTGAGGGCATTCCGTGGGCATTTCTCTTCATCTTTGCGAGAAATGACTTGAAAGGCTTCGCCAAATCAATGCGCTTATTTGCCCTGGCCAAGAGAATGCACCACAGAGATTCGTCTTTAGAAAGATCAGAATCGAATCCTTGAAGAGTTTCCAATACAGCCTTTTGCTCGTCGTTAAGGCTTGTAAAGGTCGTCCACATCGAATCCGACTCAATTTCGCATGTCAGCAGCGGCATCTCGACAAAAACCACCTGGCCTTTTTTCAGCTCCACTGTAGAAAAGAGGCCTTTGCCCCCCACATCTGGATCGTCGCGAGTTTCGACGACCTCTTCGGCAAATGCGGCGAGTTCTTTACGTGATTCTTTGCATAGTTCCAATATTTTTGGAAGAAAAAGCGTGGAGTTTTCGTTTTTCGCAAGACTTTTTGGTGGTTCTGCCTCCAAGTCTTGCGTGGTTGTGCTCGAGGGCTCTTCCTGGAAAAACATATCTTTGCAGAGTTTGTCGAAGCATGCGTCTGCAAGAGGGATGTCTGCTGAGTGTTCATCGCCCTTGTCAGCCTGTTCCTTAGACCATACATACTTGCCCATAGTGTAAATAACTGGCTTGTTTATAGCATCGTATACTTCTTTGTCTTCTTTTGTGTGAATATGCTTGATGTCTACAGTTCCAGGTGCTCTCTTTGGAATGCTTGCGAGAAACTTTGCTGCTGCTGTTCTTCCTACCTCACTAGAGCTTTCCTTATGAGCTCCAGAAACGCCTCTGCTGGGGTCTACCACAGGCTCGAGGTATATTGGTGAAGGCCTGCGGCGAGTTGCTTCCGTTCTGGTTGGGCAGACAATACTCTCAACACCCGAATAATTGCTGGTTTCACGGCTCACAGTATTAACGTTGCTTCCTATAGGCCGTACATGTTTGCTTCCCACCACCTCAACATAATCAGGTGGTACTTCAGATGTCTCTGCCGGCCTTTTCAGTAGCTTGCAGGGTTCTCCACTGAGGGACCCTACCTTTTGCTTTACGGGCCCAACGAATGCCTTCGTTACTTCACGCACTGGAATGACTTGAGTAAACGTGGGGCTTTGCTTCCTGGCGAGGTAAGCTGCTGCTTGTGGACCGAGCTTGTGAGGGCGAGGTGTAACAGACCTTACGGGGATTGGCGTAGGGGGGCTGAAGGATTCTTCCTCTTGTGGGGGATCCTGCGGAGGGGGCTCGACCCCAAGGAGCTGAGCTAATGTGTACTCGGAGGCATGCCTGGCTGGTATGTTAAACTGCTGTAGATTTTCGACGAGCTGCTCATATGGAATGTTCCCTGTACCGTCGGCTGGGTTTGTCCATCGCTTGATGTGATCGGGTGCGACTGCTGCGAAGTGGCTCAGCCAGTTTTGCCCCATATTTTCACTGAACTCTGAAGTTTTACCATTTCCTTCTGCAGGTGGTGCCTCCTTGTTGCCGGAGGTGTGGTCGGTTGCGCCTAGAACCCTGGCGACCAGCGAGCGAAGCCCAGACAAGGGCTCAGAACCAGAAGAGTCCATGTTGAGACCTTTGTCCCCCTAACAACAAGAACTTCTACCAGTGTCGTGTTTTGCAAAGTCGGAAGCGTGAGGAATTTTGGAGATCCTATGGAGCGCTAGTCTCCGCCGGTGAACATCGGCAGCGCCGTCAGCAGTGTAGCGACTCAAGATAAACGGTGATGCGGCGCTAAAGGCCATAACTTAGGAATAATAAAGAAGAGTGTGTATTCAGCGGATATTCAAAAAAAAGGGAGAAAGAGGGGAAAACATGGGCCGTCCTTCGGCTACGGCAGCGAGCCTCCCTGCTAACTGGCGGACCAGCAGCTGACCAGGCACCTCAACGTTTCTAACGCAAAATATTCGGCGCTTTTCTGGGTATGAAAAGGAAACTATTAATGCCTCCAACTTGTTCTACCTGCTCTCTCTAGTTGTGGGGGGCAAAGCGGCTTTCTTGAAAGTGGCGGAAGCACTGCTGCCGCCTTACTGTCGGAGGCGCTAGCACCTTCGAGAACCTGGTGCAGTGCCGCCTGGGTCCCCTTTCGTTACTACCCGCCCCACTAGAAATGACTCTTCAACTTGAAAGCAGTGGGCTTCATTTGTAGTTTGGTATTGGTCTTCTTTTAGTGATTTATGCGGCGTTGTAACTTGGTCTCAATGACTAGCCCACAGACTTCACCGGCGGTTGCGCGATCGAACCATCCACGCAGTTTCCCAACAGAAAAGGCATACCACAGCAGAACTAAGCCAGTAATGTAGGGCGGCACCCTTCGTGTCTCGATATAGCCCTCGGGTTTCCTGGGCAGAACCACGTGAAGCTGACGCCACTGTGAAGACGAGGAATTCTCTACGCTCGTCATGTAAAAAAAAGTTAAGACCCTCGCAAGTGCCTACACTCTTCAGGCAGCAAAGTCGATGGCTCTTTTATCTGCGCTTACTATGAAAGGCATACTTTGTTCATTCCATGCAAATGGGGTTCGTCACCCAGAGACCCCGCACCCTGATAACTACAGCACAAAACTTATTCCCTTAGAAACGAATCACTACAGAAACTGCCGTACCAAACTCCATGGAAGTTATTAATTGCCACGGCACCACCGATAGTATCTGGCAATCTGTTGAAGATAGCCTTTCCCCTCCACCGTAAATTCACCGTGGCCAGTGCGGCGGAGCAGCGTTTGATACGCTGTGGTTCAATGCCATAAGCCATAAGCAAAACTATCTTAAGGGGAGCATGACAAACGTGAGTGGCTGTTAGCAACAAGTTGTTTAGATATTGCGCAGCAAAAACATACGGAAGGGCCCTACTTAATCAAACTGACGCGCTTTCAAAAACCTGTGCTGGCTTCGTCAAAAAATCTTAGAAAAAAAGGCTCACACTTGAGTGCAAAAGTTTTCCTCATATAGCTCGTAAGGGAAGTTTAAAGGAGCCCGTTAGGTAACACTTCTAGGCTTCATTGCTTCCAGAGAAAATAAGCACCCCAGCACCATCACATAACGACACGCGGAAAACGAAGTAACGAACGAAGCGACGAATGGCGACCTCACGCTCGTGAACGAAGCAGCTTAGGTAGGATACCGCTCTAGCTGCATGCCAGCACTAAGATAGCCAATGACGGTAGGAGAGCGCTCTGAGTGCATGCGAGAAGATTTGCAGCGTCGATACGAGCGCTCTCATTGCATATGAGCAGCATGATCGCCAGCGCCCACACAAGTACTCCAAAGTGTCCTGCACTCTGAATCAGACAACAGCTGCCCAGTTGTGGCGCTACACTGTACACGCAACGTATAAACTGAAGAGAATTGCCACTGCGCCTTGGCGACCCAGTCGTTATGGTCCCTGCCGATGTGGTTTCCTGTCTCCTCAAACTTACTGTACAAGACAATTCACCACGCCCCACTAAGATGCACCTCTATTTCATGGAGCCGTGCTGCTGCAGTCCGTGCATCTGCATTCCAAAATAGACGTGTGAGACGTGTGACCCTCCTGCTTTCACTCAGTCGTGTCTGTGCTACTGTCCACAGCTGTAAGAAAATTGCCTCACGAACGAAACAGGGAAGCAGCGTGCGTCAAACAGCGTCTCTGCAAATAGAGCACGTGAACACCCGATGCGCAGTTAATGCCGTTTGTTGTCTACCTTAGTTGCTACCCCACGACCGTCACAGCAAGAACCTTGAAGCACAGCTTGTGCACCACTACTCCCAGCGAACAACGGAAGTCAATCGGTAATCGCCCTCAGTATGTTCCAGCACCCCACAGCTACGTATTGTTGCCTTGAGGATATTTGTGCTAATCTTGAGGAACAAAAGGGAAGTTCCCTTGAATGATCACAACCGGAACTACGGAGCTGCGGTGCTTGCAGGCTTTCCAGTTTTCTGGCTCTTTTATATATATATTATATATAGCCGCATATTCCCAAAGCTTCAGATCACTGATTTCGTGGTTCGCTACACGTTGAAGCCGGCAGAAAGTATCACGGTATTCAGTCCCGCATCAGTTAGTTGGAAAAGTACCGTTATGCGTGGAGGACGTCACCTGCTGTAGTTGTGAGCGAGGACACTACCAACACAGACAGGGTATCGTGCTAAACTGTAGTTTGCTTTGCTGTCGTGCTGGGCAAGCCCATCCAAATGCACTTGGTTCCAATATAAACACCTAGCTGTCATGCCAACAATGCAAAGGACGATCTACTGGCAAAAGTTCACATCTGCATGCACACTCGTTGCGCCGGAACACAAAGATTCGCCAGCCCCTGATAGAAACATAGACGCTTAGCTGATTGCGTTAAGCATTAAAATGCATAGTACGGATACTCCAACCGCTCGACTTTTGCAGAACTGTAGCCGCAAAATCTCTACCATGGCTTTGTCGTGTGCCGACTCATGGTTCAGTGCTACAAATGACCCAACGGCTGAATCCTGGGGCTCAAGTCAGGCTTTAATGGCTCGCGATGAAAGCGCCGTGAAGTACTGCAAGATGCTGTGTGCCTTTGTGGCGACATTGTAGTCAGGAAAGTACCGCATGCGAGCCAGCTTGATGTCTCCCTGCAGATAAACGTAAATGCCTCGAACAAGAATAGTCTTACGAGTTCCATAACCAAGGGACTTGCGGAAGCGAGACTCCACTGAACACAGACTAACTTGAGCTCGCCATGTAGCGTGAAAAAGGCTGCCTCTCACCTGAACCGCTTGGAACAGCCGGGCGTAGGGGTTCTCGGGAAGGTCCAGCGACTTCCCTTCTTGGACGCCGACCTCCAGAATATTCTCCAAGCCTCTAAGAATAGCTTTGCAGAGCTTTAAGCTGCCACTGTTCGAAGGGTCACTTTGTGAAACGAGTTCCAACATGTCAGCGATCAAGTGAAGGCAAGGGTTGGATCCAGTCAAAGATAAAACACATGGTTCATCGAGCTCCTGGGCGAAATAGACATGCGAAGACCCCCTGCCACGCTCCATGAAAGACGGTACTCGCGTAGTGCAGCAGACAATAACCCCCACTTGTTGCGGGCTCGCTCTCGACAAGCATGCACACACTGCATACGCGGCCTCAATGCGGGTATTGTAGTCGGGATCCACTTGAAAGATCTCTAGCAGCAGCGGAAAGGCTTGTGTGTCGATGATCGCCTACAGATGGTCATGGCACAGCTTAAAGAGATGAATATAATGCGACAATGACGTGCAAACCTTGAAGTGTCGCAAAACTAGGCAGACAGTGAACTTCGTTGCAGTGGTGTTGTAGTGGTGTTTATGCCCAGTGAATGTAAAAGAGCGTACCTGGACCTGAGCCGGGGTCTCGCAACCCAAGTTGCCGATGGTGTTGCATGCCCTGGCCCTAGCCATGGGGCTGGCGACTGCCGGATCTGTCAGCACTTTGACCATAGTGCTAACTGTCCCCATGCCGATAACTTGGTCGATCTGCTGAGTCGTTCCGATGAACGCAATACGCGCAGCAATTGACAGTGCGTCGAACACGACAGTCTCATCAGAATGACACAGCAGCTTCATAATATGCGGCATCGCCATAGCCTCTAAAACAGCTGACACCCCTTCCGGGCTATCGCAAAGCGTCACACATGCATTACAGGCCAAAGAGAGACTTGTGGGATCTGTGGACTCCGACATAACGCGAACAAGGAACTGGAGCACCGCTACCTTCATGTCTGCGCTGCACGAACGGGGATGCACAAGAGCCTCTACGCATCTAACAGCTTCGACACCGGGGTGTAAATTGGCACAGCGGAGAACCGCGGGTAACAGGAGGGGCCGGCGCACGAGAGACAAGTCCTTTTCGTGTTTAAAGTCCAACGCGAGCTTCGTCAAGAAAGAAAAAATGGCGACACGCAGCTCCATACCACCCGGAGAGTCGAGAGTTAATTTCTTGAGAATATCAACAACAGCATCCAGGAGGCTGGACGATATCACCCGCAAAGTCTGGGCAAAAGTGCCACGGCAAAGACGCTGAAGTAAAAGGATGGACTCGAGCTGCAGGTGGGGATGCGGCATGCGCAACGAATCAACGACATGTGGCACTAAGCACATATCTATAAACTCATCAATGCAGATATCCAGCAACGGCCCGCTCCGCACGTCTGTCCCGCTGGGGAGCGCACCTATGGGGGTGGCACCCGCCGGGTTCACGACTGCGCCATCTTGCCTGCTGCTGAGGGACCTGCGGTACGCTTGCGTTGCTTCGAGACGCAACGCAATGTCTGCGGATTTCAAGTTTGCCATCACGCGAAGGCCGTTGTCATACGTTAACGAAGAGTTGCCCAGCTGGTTGACGAGACTGTCCAGCGCGTTTTCAAGGGACGCGGTTGCCGCACAGGCCTCATTAAAGGCACTCATTGCGGATGCTGGGGATGCGACCTGCGTCGGCGCCTCCTTACCCTTCTCCGGTCCCGTCTGCATCTCCTCCTGCATGTCCTGCTGCGACTCGGACCGAGGGGAGGCCTGTGGAGGGGCTTGCTGCATGCCCTGGAAGCCTGCAATGGGAGCCGCTACAGCCCCTGCAACGACTTCCGGTTCAAAAACGGGTGGGGACTGAATGAACATACTTGAAGATGACGCGGGTGCCCCCTGAGGGTCATTCCCAGGGGACGAAGCCGGGGGGCTGAACCCCATTATTCACCAAACAAGGCGAATGACCGGTTCAACGGGCAAGGGGGCAAGGGCGACATGCAGGCCCCTAATCTGTAGTTCGTACTACAGCCTGCAGCCACAAGCCTAAGAGGCTCAAGAGGACGGAAGCAACTGGTCGCTGCCTTCTGGAAGGCCGCTGTAAGACACAGACACGGGCCGTCAAAGGCCTTCAGGCTATGCGTTTAAGTCAAATCGCTTAGGAAAAAGAGCTTGAGTATGCGCCGGATCAGAAAGTGAAAAACGTGGCCTCTCCTTCATGGAAACAGGACAGGCCTATTATCTGGCAAGGCGGAAGAGAGATAGTCATGAGACTCTAGCAAGTTTAGACACTCGCCAGGCCCTGGGATCAGGAGCCACCTATAACCCAACGCGTGCAACGGCAAGTAAAGCAGCTGAGCGATCAAGACAAAGCTCCCATTTGCGCTTCACGAACAGCCCCTGGTGTGTTTCACCTCACTGAGGAGAGAAACCTCTGCAGCGGCAGAACACGCCTGCGCTGCTTATTTCGCAGCACGAAGGAGGATCTCACAGCAAGAAACAACCAACGTCGTCGTTCTTCTCCACGGAATCAGTGCAGTCTGTTTTTGGAACGGGCGAGCGATCGTAAAGTCCGCTATTCGCCGCTTGTTCATTCGCAGCCTTTTCTTCTGGGCCGAGGCCGTGGCAGTGGGGCGATCTAGAGCCCTCTATGAACTCAATTTAGAGTGCCGAGACAGCAATAGAGCTGCGCCTATGCAGGCGAGTGCGCGCTAAGAGGGCTGCACGCCTCGCGTGCATGCTCCGTTCTTGGTCTACTGCCACCCCTGCCGACACTTGACGACCCCACCGAATGCACATGGCCCACCATCCACAATTTAGCGCTAACCATCTGCTCTTGGAGTTAAGCTCTTTGGGTGTCTGGGCGATTTTCAGGCTTTCGTCCTGCGCTGCGAGACTCCACGCTGGCGGCTACAGGCTGCCGTGAAGAAAGTCTCGACTACGGCTCATCAATACAGCTGCACCGTTACACTGTACACAGCTCTTTTGTTTGCTGATCGAAGTCGTTTTACTTTTCAAGGCAATTCACAAGGAAGCGAGAACATAAGCGCATTCCTTGCGTCGGGACTACAGCGCTGCTTCTCTTACAGTACGTAGGTGCTGGGTTTAGCAGGCTTTGCAGCAGCTCTCAGCATGTGTTCAACTGAACAATAATACGGGTAGCATGGTATTAGAGGGCTTTATTTTAGCTGCAAACAGCCTTTTGCGTAGCTGTGGAGGAGATGCCCAGACTGGTGGACGCTTGTTATACTCTGAGGGTCTGCATTTAGGGCCGTTTGTTGCCAGCGCAAAAAGATATTCCTCGTAAGCCTAGCCGCAAGCCGCATGCAGCCTTTTGTTAAACTCTGAAAAAATGGCCACCATTATAGAGGGCTCACACTGGATTTTCTGAGGGTCCATGCGAAGACATGGCCTTCGACTATAAAAGCCTGCGACTTCGCAAAAATCCCATCCCGCGCTGCCATTACAAAATATTAAGGGAATACCTTGCTAACCCGTTAGGATCTATTGTGAGCAGAGGAGGGGAATTCTGGCGCACCGGAACTGGTTCTCTCGGAAGTCCACTGAGATTCAAGACAACCTACCCCGCGCACGTTTGGCAGCGGGTTCTGCAGCTAGGTTAAATATTGCCAAGGTATATCATTTAGGAACCATTTTGAAACTGAATGTGCAGCGGTACTGCACGCATTGCTTTGCAACAAGTTTGCATTAGACAGCTTCTCCTTTTTGCATTTTAATTCAGCGGCTCCTCAGCCGTCGCTTCGCAACCGCTGAACGCTTATTGTTTCTGTTTTATGAAGGGCATACACTTTTAACACAGGCACGAGTAATATCTTGCCTGTTTTCCACAAGGTGAGAATAAAATTATAGAGCCATTTGTTTTCCAGAGTTAGGCACTGATGTACCCTCTGCCGCAGGGCTGTACCAACTTTCACCCGTCCATTTGTTTCTTCTCAATTACAGCCTCCTACCATAGACAGAGCGTTGTATTTCACGCGTCATTGGATCGCATAATCGCGTTTCTGCTGCACTGGTAATTCTTAAGTGGAAATAGTGCTGATTTGGGTTAAGTAGTATATTACATAGTAAGCGACGCCTTCCCAACCCAACAGCCATATTCTGTTTTACACTGCTGTCTAGCGAGGGAGTTTCTGTGACAGTCAATGAGTAGTGGCTGATGCTGCTCGCCAAATGAAGTGCTGCGCACCATATTTAAGCAGGAGGCCGGCCTTGCAAAACCATTAGATTAAATTTTCTTCAAATAAGATGAAACCGTTCCGAAAGGGAAAATCCTGTGGGTGGGCAAACCTGGAACGCTGTGCAGCAGAGCCCTGGGTGTGGAGTTTGCAGTAACATGCTAGTCAGCAGCTAAGGGGGAGTTTAAGCAAGCCAAGAAGCACTTCATAGAGATTTTCCTTGTATTATGGTTCCATTAAGATGCCTTGGCTGTTTGAATTTGGTGTTTACGTTACCTATATATATATTATACATACATATATATATATATACACGTTACCTATATATTGTACTTTCAGTCTGCAATAGTGACCTGAGCTGGCTTTCATGCAGCACAAATAAGAACTGTGTAAGAATTGTCCCACAACTCGCATTCATAGCGCAATACACAAAGAAGCACGAGAAGCACATTGTGACTTTAGGGGAGCAGTAGTCTCGAAACGGACGACTCTTAGAAAGCCGTAGCCGGATATGTGCACGCTGCACGCACCTGGCAGAAGCCCTGTGAACCGTCAAGCAGAACAATTGGACTTTAAGGCTGAGGAACCACCGAAGGTGCATACATCAGGGGGCTACCCAATGCAGATCCGGCGTAGTGGCTTAGCTGCTAACCTGGTAAGCATCTTGAACGCTTGACTGCCGCGACTGAGTGCCTCCGGGGTACGTCAGAACATGAGCGCTTGGTGAGAAAATCTTCGGCTCACAAGCAGCTCCTGAAGCAAGAAGAAAGAATCTCCTGAAGGCCCCTCCTGGGTCTTTTAAGGATATATTTTGTCGGCATGAGAGTCGACGAAAGGCGATGATGCAGGAAGTTAGTAAGGTTCCTAAAAGCCTACGCCATACTACAGTGAATGTTTCTCAAGGTGTTCGTTAGTATGAACAGCCGAAATCTGATCAGCCAGCAGTTCCAAAGCGTGCCTTGTACTGCATGGCAAAGTGAAATCTGATTAATTGAGCGGAAGAAAGGTCACAAAAAATATGTTCTTTGATTTGCTACCCTAATGGAGCAAGCTCTCACCAGAGGACATGGCAATCATGAAGGGAGGATGGAGACGCTAACACTGTGGGTTCAGCCAGAAGCAGCGGGTCCTGTCAGCTAAAGCCAAGGTATTCTATATAGTGTGGGCACGACAGAAACTACTCTGTCTGAAGTCGGTGGGAACTTTTTTAAAGCTTTTGACTGTACTAATGCATCGCCTGGCTTTCTCGGACCACTGGCTGCAGAGCTAATGCAATACAGGGAACATCGATTCAGCAAAGCATGCGTGTTACAAACACCACGACGCTGAGTATTGACCGAGTAGTGGCTGAACTAGCAATGTGAGGCAAACATGAATGTGTGCTCAGGTGACTTCCTGACAAGATCTGCAGGTTTTTGGAAAAGCAACGACTCGTGTAATTCGCACACCGTATGAATAACTTGCAACGCGCGTAAGCGAAACGGAAAAGGGGAACAGCTAGTCTCCCGCAGCAGGGCTCAAGACACCTTCAGAGAACGGCTATGACGTGCTGGTGAGAGAGCTGCTAGTCATGGAGGGAATGCGGCGCTACTCTTTCGCCAACGTGAACAACTCAAAGCTTTGTACGAAAGTAAAGGCGAAAGTCCAAATCAAGCAACTCTTTGCGCAGGTCTGTGCAACTTTGGATCATCTTAGTGCAGGTTTACGGGGATTAGTTCATCTGCGCCAACTTGAGAACTGGGGCCACCACACGGCTGTATGAAGAAAAACACGGAGAGCTGCTGTGTGCAACTCAGGCTCACACCAGAAAATTCTCATGTCCACTTGCCTAGCAGCCCCTTGAGTGGCCAAGCACTCGGAAAATGACAAAAATTCAGCGTTGCCGGGCTCCAACGTGGAACGAATATACTTTGTGCAACGAATGGGTCCAGATATCAGGACCGCAGACGACCCTAGCCATGAAACTCCATTTACTACTGAAAACAACGCTGCAAAGCTATCCTTTCCGATGTACTGCCAGTCGGACTGCCGCCAAAGCTCCTCCAAAACCCCAGCTTCTTCCTATTGCCCGGAGAGCTTCAGAACACTTCAATTGTATATAACATGACACCATTCCAGCTCGAATTTGAAAGCAAGAGATAGGTAGGTAGTTAGCAAACAGGTGGATTGACCCTACGTACTCTCCTGTCTTCCCCACGAGTATTATGGTCCAGAATCACTATGACGGCCCTGGTAGAAGAAAGATAGGCATAATGGCTAGCTGTGAACCGTTATAGCGCCTCGTTGCCACTGGTAGTTTCTTCACTCCCCCTATCCTGAAGATATCCCGGGGGAGATTTGTATTTTTCCAGGCTGGATTTAGAAGCACGCTTTTATTGACTCGCACAGTTGAAGAGAAATGATAATAATATGCTGTCCGCCTGATCTTGAGGCTACATAAAAATAATGCTCGCTGGCGTTTAGAATACCTCAGCTGCCTTTTAAGGTAGTAGTAACCTGGAAATCTTTCCTGGGCTTCAAGACATACCTGGTTGATGCGCAGCGTTTACTTATCCAGTCACGCCAACCTGCAATAAATTGTTTTCACCATCTCTGTGATTCACCAATTGAACCACAAAATCCGCAAGTGCAAGTTTTTCGAAACAGGAACTCACCTGCCCTCGTTGTATTAAACGGCAAAGAGGGTGTGCAGCTCGCCGGAGACAAGGTGTACGCAATTGGCATATGCCCCGAAGTGTTAAGCAGCAAGACTTACTTATACCAATCCTTGGCGTGGTCAAGCTAGATGCTATTGAAGTATGATTCTGCGCTTTCGAAGGCTGCCCAATCTCTCGCGAGCCTGACACCGCTGCATACCAACAAGAGGGCGAACACGCCAGATTTAAGTACCACAACTGCCGTCTTATTCTCCATTTTGCAGCGGCTTACTTGCGAATCTGTAACCACGGCATGTGGCGAACGTGTGTACAGCGATTTCTAGAAGCCCCTACTCTTATGCTGTACAATCACCACGCCACCTGGCAAGTGGCCGCTGAGGCCAGAAAAAGGCTTCCTTAATCCTCAGGAAGCGTTTCGATTGGTAGGGTATGTGCGCCTATGCACGTGAATGCGCAATCCTGCTTTCCATGTCGTGCTTCTAAATCAATCACTTAGAAGCCTGCAAGACATCTTTAGCCGTTGGAAATTCCCCTTTGCCGCTAAAGCCATTGCAGTGTACACCTGGTATATGACATGCCTCTTGATGCCTCCAGTAATGACTACAATTCGGTGCTCGCGAATTCTTTGAGTAAAATGTCTCATTCCTTCTCCAGAAAAGCAGACACCCCCAGCAGCTGACGCTGTTGAACTCCATTTGCTGTTGAACTCCATTTGTGGTAGTCCCAAACGCTACCATGTTCTGACGGATACTCCTTCTTTCAGTCCGACACATGGCGGAAAAAGTGCAAGTGATTCAACATCAAGCGCGCCGTACCCTCAGCCAACCATCCGCAGAGCGATAAACAATACGCTGAAGCAGATGCTGCTCACTTACATTCACTATAAAGGGCGAAGGCAGAAACGTCTCCTCCCTAATCTCCAATTGGCATTTAGTAGGACCGCAGGGGCCAAATCAGCCCAAGAATGTTTTACTTTTACTTCTTGTGAGCAAACCTAAATTGTAGAGGCTGCTGTGTACCTGCAGTTGGCTACAGCAACGCCAGCACTTAAGTGTAAGTGGTACTTGACTAGCTCGTCTGCTGGTCCAGCAGCTGCCTGCCTTCTGCTGTATCCTTCTACTTGGAAAGCACTCCATGAGCCTGACTCTTGAAAAGTGCAGTCTGAAAGTTAGAGACAGCTTCATTGGAGCCCTCAACCGTGAGTACCTTTAGCCTTCAATGCTACGCTCGACCGGCAAAGAAGGCAAGATTGCAGCCTAGATGCCCGCTGAGAGCACCACCTCACAGCCATAGGTTTCTCAAAATCTCTAAGGGTTCCTTGAACGTAAACTGTGTAAAGGAGTGATACTGCGTACTACAATTTGTGGCCCTGGGCCTCATCCGGCCTTACAGGCAGTAATTCCGGGCGGCTAAACCATTTTGAAGGAGAAAGTATAAACTTACAAACCCAAAGATCTTCCTAAACGGTGGTAAATTACCACTCTTTATCAGAATGCCAAATACACAAAGGCCTTCAGAAAGGTTCTGAATGCACGCGACGGCACTGGAACCGCCGCGCCTGCAACACCGTAGAGTATATACTAGGGCCTCTTACTTTCTCTTGTCTTTGTACACACATACAAATCAGCGTTTGGTACGCTGCGAGTGAGACCTATAGTTGTGCGACAGGGAGGCGCACAGGCAGTGCTAGGCGTACTGCCCCTTTGGAGGACTCAGCATGTGTGCTGGAGGCCAAATTCCCCGTGCAGAGAAGTGGAAAACGTTTGGAAAAAAATTCCAATAGCTTCAACAGAATTTTAAAGGCCCATAAGGCAATTAATGGTGCAGCAAGGTTTCCCAGCGGAGCCTGCCAGCAGAGAACAAGTGCTGAGCAGTACAGGTGACGACGGCGTGGGAGAGTTAAGCCCTGTCAGCATGTCTGCAGCGTTACAAATAGGGCTCAGAAAGAAGCAGCATCTAGTTTCATTCTTTTGGTTCAAGCCTTCCGTGACCACTGCTACTTAGGGCTGTTGCGACCAACGCTGAGAGTACAGTGCGCCACTCACGCTAATCATTCAGCTGTGCGGTCATTTATTGCGATTTTCTGAAGGACGCTACTTTCTTTTTCCTTATTTTTCAATGAAACATGTAGGAATCAAGCTGGCATTAGCTTCTTTCACCTCGCAATGCGTTCTGAGCTGACCATGACAAGGGCAGGTGACCCTCCTGAACCAGCCACCCCACATATTACGGTGCTACACGAATCTTGGCTATCGTTGCATGAAGCTCCATTATTGTGTATGCTCCCTCAGCTTTTAATGCATAAGCATCAGGGCCCGTTATGCTGACCCCGTGGGAAGACGGCAGTAGCCTGTGGGCCTGCTTGCGTATGTGAACTGGCGGACCGTTGCAGTGACACCTGAGGCTCGAATGCAGCGGCTGCCGCAGTGATGTTTCCATTTTAAGTGATACAGCTAATCAGAATCTTTGAGACATATATAGCTGTGGGCCATTCTGACCACAACAACCAACGCGTGCGCCCAGTCTGCATGGTGAACAAGCTGAACTGGACTTTGCCGGGGCATTGGCAAATAACATACCTTAACAGCAAGCTTCCAGTAATCGTACAAGAAAAAACCTTTAGTTGTGTTTAGGCCAGGACTAGAGAACCTGTGGTGAAACGGCCAAGGCCCAGGGCGACAACGATGGGAAGCACTCACAGTCATGAGCTGGCAACTGCACCGCTTGGCCACAACCAAAATAGGCGTAAACAGTGCAAGTCAGTAGCGCTGCCTTCTCTGGAGAGGTCTCAAGGGGATCAAGGCTTGCCAGAATGCCCTGTTTCAACGGCCCGCCCAGGGAAGCTAAAGCTGAACGGTCTGGCCGCTGGCGACTCCACCACGTGTTGCACGACAACGTGTGGCAGCAGTCTTAGTGGATTCGGCGCCAGCCCACAAACGCGTTCAACAGGCCTTAGTGGGGGGTCAAGTGCTGTCACCATCACACTGTCATGCGAGAGTTGTCTGGAGCGCAGCGAAAGCGCTCAGGCGGTGAGCAGCATTGCAAGCCAGAGTCCTAGAGCCTCTACGCAAAAGGATTACTTGGATGTTCTGGAAGAAAGTGCCAAAAAATCGACAGCTAGAGGGGGCCGATGGAGCCGCAGAACTCCGCGGGTGCAGGGGCTCCTGAAGACTCTGAGAAGAGGAGCAGTGCGCTGTCGCTCTCAGCCAGCACCATCCAGGAGCCAGGAAGGTTCCAGAGAGTACATTAATAACGAATTAGGTGCAGAGACAGTACCAGCAACGTCGGCAGCTGCTTTGCATGCTTTCATCCTTAAGGAAGAAGATGAGCATCGGCGTAGGCGACACAGCAACATGCTAGACCTCTTTTCGGCAGCATCTGTAGCCAACATTGAGCATGAAGCCTCACGCAAGGTAAAAGCTTTTGAAGAGGAATCCAGCGGCGCAACACTAGATGGCACGCAAAATGCAGGTGCAGATCGCTCTGCGAGCTGTCACGGCGAAGGTAGGTCAGCAAGCTCGCCCAGCGGGAACGCAGTTCAAGCTGGGGAAACACAGCAAAGTCAACTCCCTAGAAGAGTTGCTTTGCGCAGAGTAGCTGGGCGCCGGGCTCTGGAACTCCCGCAGTGCAACAGTGGGGCTCCCAGCAGTTGGATATGTGACGCCCCACCGGACGGGCGATGGGAAATAGAAAGAGGAGTATGGAATCGACAGGGTGTCCACCTTAACCACCTCCGTGTTGCAGATGACCGCTTCAAGGCTCTAGCAGCAACGAGACTGTTGTCGCCACCCAGTCTTAAAGGGCAATCCCAAGGGATTTACAAAACTTCCGGCATGAGTGTATCGCAGCCCATTACCCAGCATCGAGGAGTTCCTATTGCTCCCCTGGCTGGCCGGTTGAGGGAAAATCAGCAGTTGCTGTTGCAGTCGGGGTACCAAGTTGTGCCGGTGACAAATAGAGGCGTGGCAGCAGCCACAACGATCGAGCTAGTCAAAAGCAGACATGCAAATGAGGAAAGGCGCAGGCAGCGGCATCGTCATATTGCTTCCCCTGAGCTGAGTCCAAAAATTCCTAGCCCTGTGGGCCCTCAGAACTCATCAATAGGTCAGCAAAAAGTGGGGCCACCAAAAGCAAGTTGCGGGCTAAAAGCACACCATGCGTATAACTTATCAGGTACACTGCCTTTCGTTACCCGCTGCATTTTTTCTTTTTGCGTGTCCTGCAGAAGAGCAGAGAAGAAGAGACCACAACAGGGTGGACGCGCAGACCTCTGCAAGGGAACTGCAGGGGACACATGGAAGAACTTTAGTCGAGACACAGGAGCAGCCAGTGCGCTGCAACAGGCAGACCCTACTAGCAAGTGGAAACGAGCAACCGCTTGACACTGGTGAACCTCATGGGCTCAAAACAATCGGAGGAGGCGGGGACGCCCAAGCTTCGAGATGCGCGCTTTCTGTTCCAACTCCCCCGTTTGTCTCTCATGCTCAACAGGAAAAGCAGGTCAGCTTCTCTTCGGGGACATGTAAAACGTTTAGTGCTTCTCCAGTTGCAGTTAAGGAAGAAATAGCTGGCAAGCGGCACCCTACAGCTGAACGATAATTCGCTCAGCGCATAACTCGATGGCGTCTGCTCTATTAATTGGAGACTTCACAAGTACGTTTTTTTTTTTCTGTTCAACAGGATGGCACAAATTTTTTGCAGCCATCATACTGCGCAGCATCCGTGAAAGGCCCCCAAAAGGTTTGTCTCTTCAAATCCGCACCACGGAGCAAATTAGCTTTGGCGAGAGACTGCCCCCTGCGTAGTGAACGTCCCTTCAAGTGTTCTAGTTCTAGTCTACCAGGAAAATAGAGACCCACTGGTGCTGACCAGAAACACTGGAAGTAATTTGTGTGCCTGCCTGTTGACTGCAGTGCCATGATTCTGGATGCCCCCCAGCAAATCCTCAGGTGACCCCATCAGCCTCACGAGCACAGCAACGGAATGCGTTTGTCGCAAACCCTCGTACTCACGTAGGAGCTCCACAGAGGAGGCCCCGCTTATCAGTTAACTAGAGCACAGCGATCTCAGTGCTGATAAACAGGAAACGTGTTCTAGCCTGGTGGCGGGAATGCTCCACAGCGATACTGCATGCTCCAGGAGCTCAAGACCAATTCAAACACTACTTCTAATGCGTGAACAGACCCAAGAAAGCGCAAGCTGGAGCACTGAAGGTCATCACTCAGAACAGCAACACTGCACTGGATAGCGACGAGCCTAGACACATATAGCCCGTGAACATCTCGATCGTCTAAAATAGTTCCTATTCACTTCAGAATGCTCGCAAGTACGCAGCAGCGAACGCCATGCAGAGACTAATTACTACGCAACCAAAAAGTGACTTCATGGGAGAGGCGAGCCCAGCTGTTCGCACAGCTGTTCGCACAGATTTTGCGGCTGCTGCTAACTCACCAGATTAACCTGCTCATACAGAGCTACACAACCAAAGCCACACGCAGGGGACCTTGGAAGGCCAACTACGCTCTGCGAACAGATTTCAGCAGTGACAGTAAAGCATAAGACGGCTTCTGGTTTGCTAATTGGGAAAAAGTAACGAAACAATGAGCCAGCGTAACGACGAGCCTCCCGCCGGTAACAGAAATGCATGTTGGACCAAATATCGTACAATGCGTCCGTACATCATGTCTGCGCACCAGATGCTGAAGCGACAGAACACATGGGCGCCAGCTGCGGAACTACAGGGCACTGGCTTCGGCGGCAGTTATCCCAGCTGTGCCGCTATGGGCTGAACGGCTAACGGGTGCGCTCCACAAAGCGTTTCACGCCCTTTGGCCTGCACACTGTACTGCACGTAATGCCGCATCTGCAGCATTCGAACTAAAGCACTAAACGGAAGCCGCCAACCCATCTTATTTCAGTGACACGAGCAGGTTCAAGCGCCAAGGGCATTTCCGCAGTAATCTAAACCAGCCTCTTGTGACCGTCGCCGTCAAGTGGACCTTGCAGTAGCTCACTGTGTCATCAACCAATGCAGTGCGCTACTTCCTGGTTTTCCTCTTCTGGATCCTTGCCCTTCTACGAGTAGATAAAGCGTTCGGTTCTGCCCACTTTTCGCGTGTGCGGACTGGGGCAGCTGTGTCACCTAAGTGTTGCAGAGTCATGTAGTAGCTCTGACGCCGGTTGGGATTGCGGAGCTGCAGCAGGAGTAGTGGGAAGAAGTCTGGACCACAGTGAAGGGGAGCTTCCAGCTTGTGCCTGCCTCTGCTGCATCTCCTCGTACTCCTTCATCTGTTGAAACTGTTTACGTGGAGTTATTGCGGGGGTTCCACGGAGAAACATCTGAAAAAACCAACCATGACAAAGCGCCAAAAAATGAGCACAGAGCACCCTTCTTCCCCTCAACGGGAAGAAATACACTGGCACTGCAAAGCTTCGCCGGCTTATGAAGATATGTGAGCTTACTATTTGTACAACTTCGATAATCCCAAGGAGAACGCCACCCACAACAGCATTACGCGCACAACTTTTCCACCCTGACCTCATAGAGAGAACCCCACCAGTAGCAGCCCCTGCCAGCACCGGATTCCAAGAATCCTCCTTGCCCCCCCTGGCGTACGCGAGCGTGCAGTCAAAGGCGCAAAAAATACCTCCCCAGGTGGCAAAAGCTGAGCCTACTGCTGGGGATTTGAGCGTCCCCGAAAACATCGCTCCGTTGAATTTTTCATACTTTGGCGAATTCCGCCACCCTTTGGCGAAGTGCCACAGAAATCCCCCCAAGGCACCCATTCCGAAGGCGCCTCCCATATCATCCAGTATCCGGTCTGGACACGGCTCCCTGTTAAGATCTCGCCGCCCAGCCATCTTCGACGGTGCTGCAATCCAGTTGCAAATAAACGCGTGAACGCGTCGAAACAGGCTCACTGCTGAGGCTGGAGGCGGTCACAGTTGTCCGTTGAGTTGCGTTGAAGTTCACCCCGTCTCCCTAGTTCCTTAAGCAACGCTGAGCGCACGGACGGGCCATTAAACTTCAGTCGGCACACCGGTTTCCCACCCACCAGAATGATCGGCACTTCTCTTCTGAGTTTGCGCGCATCCCCTTCAGAGAGGCCCAGTTGCTCCCGCGACACCGGGCAATCCAGGCTCAGCTTCTTCACAAGCACTTGCTCACCGCCTCTAGCTTCCACAACTCTTTGCTTTGTGCACTCCAAGCATCCAGAACAACACTGGTGCTGCTTGGACTGGAAGCCCGTTACTTCTTTATTTGCCTTGGCAGTAGCAGTAAGCCCGGCCTGCTGGGTTGCAGTAGCCGAATCGACCTTGCATGCGGCAACGGCACCACTGTACTGTAGTCCTTCTTTCTGGATTTGGCACTTGAGCCTCTGTGCTACTTGGACAGGTCCAAGCAAGGGCTGATTGACGGATGATTGTCCAGAATGATTGCCGTTGAATGTAAGTGGCGGGCTCAGGGCTGCTATGATCCTGCGGACGGAAAGTACTGCCTTAGAGCACAAAGTACAGTGATCAGTCCCAATAATGACAACAGAGATTGGTGAGACCTCCGTTGCTGCAGAGCCTAAATGCTGAGCTACCGGCCAGCGCTCATCGACATTCGACTTGGAGATACCTCTGCAACCGTCTGCCTGTCCACAGAGACCCCTCAGTGCGACGCCCCACGCGTTGATGCAGAGAAGTGCTTTGTGTGTCCTTATACTTGATGTTAGCGAAGAGCCAGCCAAGAAAGCGAACGAGCATGAGCGCCACCCCACGGGCAGCCTGCGGGGCCCCAAGCATGCGATCATTGGCTTGAAGAAGTCGTTAGCTCTTCATGCCATTCATCGTGGAGCGTTTGCATAAAATAAATTTACAAAAAGGTTTTGAATACGCTCTTGAATTTCAGGTAGTCGCAAGACAAAAAATATACCATTTTGGGGCTCTTCGTTTCTACCGTTTCCAGCCCCGTGGATAGGGTGCGCTTGTCTTTGCTAGTCTCTGCAAAATAACTCTATTGAATAAACCTGAAGAGAAATTTGAACTTTTTCTTACAAGCTTTTCTTGGGTCGTGACTTCCGTCATTCCGTGCAAGTGCGCGCCGATTTCCTGTAGTTCGGGCAATGGCTTGCTGAGACGGATTGACCTGCCGAGGCAGGGTAACCGGATAATCAGCTCTGGACAACCGCTTCCGAGCTGTGGACCTTCAGGTCACGTGAGATATCACTTGTGGCAGCTTTGACGTGGCAACTGGCTGGGCAACTGGCCCTGGTCGGGGTGGCGGGCAAAGTGGTCTCTTAGGGAGCATGGGTATCTTCTTTCGGGACCGCCAGGAGGACTTGGCGGATCCCGATCTAAGGGCGTCTCGTTACTTCCTATTCAAGAATAAACAGACGCAGGAAAATAAGCTCAAAAATGCGGAAAAGAAATATGGCTACACTCTTGCTGAACTTCATGCCTACAGGCATCTCATGATGCCACCTCGAATGCCTCAGCGCATGCAAGAGGAACGGACAGATATGGCAAATACGTACTGTCAGATTGAAAGGCTCGTGGGCGTTGAGGTTTACCAACAACAGACGGAGAACCACTTCGCCACAAAGGCTCCTACTTCCAGCAGCTGGTCGAACGCTTCCGAAGGAGTATCCGTTCCTGAGACAGCTTCAGCAAAGTCCCTCAATGCGGATTTATGTTCTGCGGAGAAAAGTGGGGGGACAAACGGGACAGATGAAGTGGATGAGAGATGTGTGAAGTGTCTCGGCTACTACTTGGCTTTGGACAGATGTGTTCGATCTGTGTCGAAACAAGACGAGAAAAATAGGGTGTACAAGCACACGCGTCTTCATGCTTGCAAGCCCCATTGGGTATTTCAACACACAGGGCTAGGGCTAAACTGCAATTGCATGTAGGGTATTTCGGTGAGTGAGCCTCAATTCGCTGGAGAGGATACTTGGCGAATGATCCTGCACCCGTCACTGCTGCATCACGCTGTTTCAGGTGTGGTTTAATCGATGCATTGCTTATCGGGACCAGCAGCTCCTCAAGGAAATACACTCGTGGGAGACAGAGCACGTCAAGTCACTTCGTCCTGAGGAGAGGTGGGGATAGAAGCCCTGTGGAGGGCTCATCCTACACAGACATTCCATACGGATTGCAGCTTTGTACTAGCTCATTAGTTAGAGGAGGAAATGAAACGAGAACTGCACGAGTGCCTGCGCACTCTCGCCAGACCTCTTGAGTATGTGGATGGCCCAGTGTTCGTGTAATTTGTAGGTGGCCGTTCCGTTTGTGGGCATGCCTGCTCGTTTGCTGATTTATTAGGAAGGATTACCTGGATCGACTGCAAGGCACGAAGAGGTACCTCGAAGTAAGGTGGTGCTGGCTATGCGGGAGACAGCGACAGAAGCATACTCAGTCAGCAGCTTTTATAGCATTAATAGGGTTACATGTCATAGCCCTAATCGACTTGCCGTGCTATCAGCGAAGAGCTCTTAACAGTGAATAACTGGAAGTGGATGGGTAAGGCAGCGGCCAGTGACTCTCCTGCTGGTCCTTGCGTTGTTGCTTGTTACGTTGTTGCAGTATGCTGCGGCTCGTTCCCGCGACGACATCGAAGTTATCAAGTAAGCAGTCTTTCTGCTCGCCCTTGATGCAGTTGTGAGCAGTGCAGCGTATTACAACTGTTGCTAATGAAATGGTTCGATCGGATCATATGGGTACTTACACGGTGGCAGCCTGCATTGGGGCCCATGACTGCCTTTCGCAGTAGAGAGCTCAGCGCATGTGCGTTGTAGCACCTGCTTTCTGCGTGTGTAAGGCTGCAGAGAGAAGCGAGCCATGTCACAGCACGCCTTGATAAGCTTAGGGGGAACGAGCTTAGGGGGAACGTAGAAGCCTGCTGACACGTGCTGCTCGCGAGGCCACCGCCCGCTGTCCCTCTCTAGGCGGCTGAAAAAGTTACGTACTACACGTTACGAAGGGCACCAATGCCTGTTTTGCGGCTGTGATAAAATTGCAGCATATCCGCGTCTGGACTCAGGGATCGCTGAATTCCGCGTTATTTCGCTGGAATCTTCGATTTTAGTCCTTTTGTGATAAGTCGCACTGTGGGCAGTAGTCTAACGAGTGCAGCGGCACAATAGGATTGCAAGCAGTGGCACTACACCAGTACGGGTTTAAGGGAAGAGCCTCAGTGTCAAGCACGCGCGAAACAGCATGCTAGACGTGGGAATTGACAGATCGTCACTGTTGAGACCGACCCACGCGCTACTGCATTATGGCGTCTAGGCATTTTCTGCAGGTGCTGCTTCAGAAGCAAGAAATATAGAATTCAATTCGTATTGCTTCCCTGCTGGATGCAACACAGCAATGGCAAGACACGGAAGCGATGAGAGCCAAGGACGGCCACGGTACTTGAGCATATCACAGGAAAGAAAGCAAGATGAGAGAAGCCCGCAGCTGTACAGGCGCCAGAGCAGCATGGCTGTTTGTGGTTTTGCGCTGAAGTGGTGGCATGACCATGTAGATAAAGGCGTTAAGTCTTTGTGTTCCGTTTTACTTGAGATGTTCTTCCATTAAGAGCACCAGATGAGCCGTTTACCTTGTGGACGCAAAGCTCGCCCGCACACGAAATTTTCTGACCCTCTTCACGCTAAACACCCGAACGTTGTACAAGGTACAAAGTTGGCGAAGAAAGATGATCTGGTACGAATTATTGCTCTTAAGTAGATCCATCATCAACTACAGAATGAAGTCCATGAAAGTCGCAGTGGATGCAGAGTTGTGAGCTGAATATCCTTCTTGATAGTGCTTTAATAGAACTGCGCCCGCTACAGGCCTGATGAAGGGTATGCAACTGCATTTCACCTGAGCAGTTTGGCTACACCAGCACGCTGCTCAAATGGTGTTCAGGGCTGTGCGGGTGGTTCAGGTGAGGGGCCCCCCACCAGTCCCGGTGTAAGTGTGCCAGCAGCTACAAGAACAAATTCCAATTTAACATGTAACATATAAAGTTATATTTTTTGTGCGATGCGGAGACGCGAGCTGCCGGTTATGGCTACCTTTGACCCGGCGAGCGGCGCTTCTTCTTGTGCAAGTACTCCTTCGCTGACCCTCATCAGTTGCATAGAAACGCGGACTTTGTGCACCTGCTAGCAGCTCTGTTGTCAATTTATTCTAAGTATTTGATTGAACCATGAGTTCAGCTCCATCAGTGACGAGAAAGAAACTCGTTTATCTGTGCTGCCGACTCAAGACATAGTACCTGAGACTATGCACGTAAGAGTGACGAACTCTCTTTAAACTGGCGGCCATCATTCTTTTTTTCTCTTTTACTGCACAACTCGTTGCGGCTTCTAGTGAGTATCACTGGCCTTGGGAGTAACTCGTGCTTTCCACGAAGGAATGCTGAGTATTTGAGTATCTGAGGAGAACCGCATCAAGTGACTCCAGCCCTTGAACAGCAGCGTCTGAAAGTTCCCTTCCAATTCTGTGGCGCGGCCTCTTTCGAGAAGCTCCTCAGGGTCTGCAACTGCCCTGGGAGTAACTCCAAGAGTGCAGACTCTTTCTGAACTACCGAGGCGCCTCTGGTGAACGCGATAGTGTGAATATGGCAGCAAATGATACACAATGGATCGACGGAAACCTTACGAGGCGTCCAACCCTCTGTGTGGAACCCAGAAACCGCAGCTACCTTCAGTTTCGGGGCCAGCATCGGGGAAGGCAGCTCGCTGGCTGCTTGGGAGGATCAAGGACGGCTCCCAAAGGGCTTTACTGCTCCAGCAGACGCCCTGTATAGCACAGAGTTTGGTAGGTGCCCCCATTCCGCAGTCAGAAAGACCCGGGGGAGCCTCGTTCCCTTTTGGAAGGGCAGCGCCGGTCTCCTGTGGAGACCGGGGCAATGGAAACGCGCCGCAGTGGAGCCGTGTACAACAATCACTGTCAAGGCCTCCATCCACGCAAGGAGAAGAACTACACTCGGAGCCACACAGTGCACGCATCCCCTTGAGGTCTTCTGAAGCCCCTCCACGGTCCGTCTCGTCGAGTTACACTCAAGCAGCAGCCAGCTATACCCAAGACAGATTACGGGACCAGAGAGAGGCCAGTCGGCTGGCCGCTACAGCCTTACAGGCACAGGCTCCATCAGACGCTGTGAAGGTGCCTTACGGATCTCAAGGGGACTTGACGCTAAAGGAGACTCGGGGATTTCGTCAGGGAGGTGTCAACGGGCCATGCCAGGGCGCCGCCTTGAGTCCGCCTCAGGCTGCTGCCAGTCTGTCGAGCTCTTCATCAGGTTATCAGGGACTCAGAGCCATTAAAAGTCATCTAAAAGATCCATGGGAATCAACCAGTTCCGTTTCAAAACAAAAAGAAACAGAGAAACTGGCGAGGCTGGTTGTCCGCACAGCTCTGCCCTCCCACTGGCAGCAGCATCAGCAGCTGCACGAAGAGCAGCGGAAGCACCAGCAAGAGCCTCAGCCCCAACAGAGAGAGCACGAACAACAGCAGCATCAACAGCACCTGCACGAGGAACAGAAAGCATGTGAGCTGGAGTGCCAGTACCGCATTCAGCAACAAGCTATGCCCTACCAACGGCAACACCAACAGCATGAGGAAGAGCAACCAATCGAGCGCCAAGGGGATCACTTGGGTCAGCATCTACAAGAGCGTCAACACCACAGAAACCAAGTGCGCTGCGAGCAATCGCAACAGCAGCACCACCAGCAACAGCACCAACAACGGCCGCACCAGCAGCACCAGCAGCACCAACAGCAACAGGCAACACAGCAGCATCAGCAACGTGAGCAGCAGCAAACACAGCAGGAACATCAACAAGAGGAGCGGAAGCATCTTGTGCAGCGCCACCATGCGCTCAGTCAAGGATTTGATGTGGGCTCCAGGCAAAACGCTGATGCTGAGCAGTCGGCAGAAGCTTCAGCATTTGCATTTCTTGCCAGAAACTCAGATTTCAGTCGCCCTCCACATGCTACCTTGAGCAGCAGCAACTCGTACGGGGGTTTCTCATGTCTAGAAGTCTACCCTCAAATAGTTCCTGTTGTGGAGCCTCCCGCAAGGGCTACAGGACGGGCGAGCCTTCCTCAAGGACAGATGCTACAGGAGCAACAACCCACCACTGAAAACAGCGAATTGCCGGCTGAGCTGCATGCAGTGACTTGGCAGCCATATTCATTAAATCGTGAGTGCCCTTTGAATCAGAGCGGGGTCTCTGCAGGGAAACCAACTGCGACTTCAACTGCCAACGATGCTATTGAGCCCAGGATAACGTGGCTGCAGCAACAGCCCAAGGAGGATAATGCGGGGCAATTTCCCGCGGCCCTTGAGGTGTCCACCGCTGCAGCGATTCAACGTAGCCCCTCTTCATATGGCAGCGAACCTCAACTCATTCCGCACCATGGTGCCTTGTTTGGAACACTGTCCCCAGAACAAAGAGCTGTCGTCACTGCACCTCCACAAAGCAGTGTTTGCGTGCTGGCGGGGCCAGGAGCAGGTACGTTCTTTCCATTCTTACGAGTGATTGCCATTCTTAGTGCAGCAGAGTTAGCATTGTGTGGGAGCCTGGCTCTTTCACATTCTCGTACTCTTTTTAGAGCGGCATGCGTGGCTGCATGTACAGTGCATACTGGGATAGCTGCAGAGGAGGCCAGTGTTTCTTGAGTAAAATTTTTTCTCCTGTGTGGGAGATGGGGAAATGGATGTGCTGATAGGCAAGACCACTACCATAACTGCCCGCATCGTCCGCCTGCTACTTGAAGGACATCGGCCTCTAGCAGCATTAACATTTACCAAAAAAAGCGCGACAGAACTCGAACGGCGGATACGTGGAGGACTGGAAGGGGTGCTCAGGGACAGGAGCTCTCCAGCCTGCTCGTCTTTTCCGTCTGTTGGTGAAATAGGCGAGAAGGACTTGTTCGTGGGAACGTTTCATTCGTTTTTTATGAAGCTCCTAAAGAGCCATGGAGCTCAAGTAGGGGTCCCATGCACCTTCAGGGTGATGGGGCAGTTTCAGCAGCTTGCACTGCTCCGCAGCCTTATTGAGCGAGAAAAAAGGGCAGAGGCGCAGCGCCGAGGGGTCCCCGGTGTGAAGGCAATTAGTACAACACTGTGCAGCAATCCTGGAGACCCTCATGTCTCCAGTGACGAGAATGAATGCTATTCGGATGACGAAAGAGACGTACAAGAATCAAGTTTTCAAACGACAGGCATGGGGGGCTTCAGCTCCACTGGTAAAGAAGCAGATGAACTGCGAAAACGCATCCGCTGCATGAAGTTCATCCCCGAACTGCTGGAACGAGAACGCGCTGCAGGCTCTGTGCTGTATCGTCTGTTTTGTGAGTACGCGAAACACCTGAAGGAGCAACAGCCACCTCTGCTGGACTTTGCTGATTTAACTGTCAAGACTCTTAAGCTGTTGGAGCGGCAGGACACACGAGCTGAACTGGGAGCTCTTTGGCCCTACTTGGTTGTCGATGAATTCCAAGACACAAACAGCAACCAGTTCAAGTTCATTTGTCTAATGGCTCTGCAGCGGCCCCCGAACCCAAGCACTCTCCCTGCAGCTCTTGGGGCCCAGCGTCTCTTCCCCACCAGGCGGCATCCAGGGGGCGTGACAGTTGTGGGAGATGATGATCAGTCTATCTATAAGTGGAGAGGCACGCACACTGGTGTAGGTTGGGCCCACAGTCATGCTGTCGCGCCCGCGCAACGCGTCTACTCTAGCAAGTTAGTTGACGCGTCCCCCAGACAACGCACAACGCTTTGGAGCCACTCCGTCCATTTTTTATGTTTGTGTTCGCGCAGATATTTCATGAGTTCAGGCGCAATTTCCCAGAGTACAAGGAATTTTTTCTTGCTTGTAACTACCGTTCTGTACCTTCTGTGGTGCGTCATAGTCTGTCTCTAGTCAGTTTTAATTGGCCATTTCGCATTCGCAAGGCACTGTACTCTGTTTACGAGTCGAGAAAGATGGATCCCAGAGGAAACTTTTGTGCTGAAACCACCGATGACGCTGCAGCTCCTTGTGACGACACTGATTGGGCCTCTACGTCCACTAAGAGTACAAGAAATTTGAAAGGCCACGTGCACGGCGCTTTCCTCCCGTCTCAAAGCCTGGAGGCACAGTACATCTTACGTTATATTCTGTGTTTGAAACAGCACCACAGCCTACGCTGGGACGACTTCGCTATCCTCTGTCGTACGAATAGCGCCTTAATTGACATCCAGAACCTACTAACGAGCCCCCGGATACAGCGTGCAGCTTGTGCGGCTTCTGCCGTCTTCTCCACAAATGAAGCTCGTGGGGCTGTGGAAGACAGCAAACATTACGCAGGGATCGGGGACCCGAACAAGCCTGCAGACCCAGCTGTGATGTTTCCTGCTGCAAATCTAGCTGAGTTGGAACTGCCTGCTGGGGGTCTTCCTATTTCTAGCACAAGCTCGAAGAGAGCCGGAGGGGCGGAGATCTTCCTTCGCCCGGACGCAATAGATCTTCTTTGTTACCTTCGCTTGGCAGTAGACCCTCACCATGATCCCTCTTTTATTAGAGTGTTGAATAAGCCACCTCGCCGCATTGGGCCGAAGACATTGCTGGCTCTGAAACGCATTCAAAACTCCCTGAATGGCACAATAGCCGGGACAGCAGATATCGCGCGCGCCTTCGTGGAAATGCCGTGGCAAGGTTTGCCCTGGGGTGCACAGAGCGGATTTCAGGAATCCCCCGTGACTGCTTCTCTCTTTGATGCCATGTGTGGTGTTCTGCGAGCCGCTGGGATGAAAGATGAAGTGCCTGAAGTCCACCTCACGAACCAATCCGCGGCAGAAGTGGAGGCTGCACGTCTGCGCTCGAACCAGCTAGAGGCTCTCGCGTCATTCGTCAAATCTATCCAGAAGCTCCATTCAATGTCTAAAAGCTCTGATTCCGTGAAGACAGTGCTCGAATACACACTTGGGCCGCTAGGAATGGGCGCTTTTTTTGCTCATAAACGGCTTGTGCACCGTTCGCGGAATGCTGGGCAAGCAGCAGGTGAAGGCACCACCGAAGTCCCGGTACAGTCGGAGAAGGAAACCCTTCATCCATCGCTTCCCGAAGTTTCTCAAACGAAAAGCCCCACGACAGACTTTGCACGGGCAAAGACGCGTCGAAACAAGAGGAAAGCAGCCTCTGTCCCTGAAATAGAGAGAACTGAAGATTCCATGGGAAAACCTACTGGGGTAGAAGCGTCCTTACGAGATCTCTCAAAGCTATACGGATCGGAAACATTTGCAGATGTGCTTGGGTTACTGCGAGCAGTCGAGGCGTATGCTCCTAACTGGCAGCAGGTGACAGCCGCAGATTGCATTAAAAGGCTGCTCCGAGATGCGGACTCTGGGCGGTTTGTTCAGCAAAAGGTTACAAATGCAGTAACACTCTCTACGATCCACCAGGCCAAAGGACTGGAGTGGAAGGTCGTCATTGTTGCAAGAGCTAACGACGGGTAAGCTCACCTTCAGTACTCTTTCTAACTCAGCGCATTAGACGCCTCTACACAGCTAGCCACAATTTTTGGAAAGCACAAGAAGAAGTGCATTCACCCTCGTCGGCTGCCGAATGCGTAGCGTTTATCTATTGTAATAAAGGCGTGTTTTAATGTATAGGTGCGCCGTTACATTCGAAGATCCATGCCCTCTTATGCGATGCAGGACTTTGCCAATGGGCGTTGGTGGCAGCCAGCCGCTAGCGGACTACGTTGCACGTTTGCTCTCGAGCTTCGCTGCGGAGCAGCCGAAGCCTGAGGCTCTGCAGCACGCAGAAGCAACGGTTATTAGACAAGCATCGGGAAACGAACAGCATTTCCATCTCATGGAGGAACGCAGGGTTTGCTACGTTGCCCTTACTCGAGCCAGACAGTTCTTACTCCTTACAGCTCCCCTGGCAGACAAAACCAACCACCCCTTGAATCCTTCGCGTTTTTTCAAAGAGGCTGGCCTTGTATCAGTGTGGCAGGCGCCAATGCCTTCTGCTGGTGCTAGAGCAAAATCTGACAAAAACAGCTCGAGCCTGAAAACTGCCATGGAGAGCGGTGAAGGCAGAAATAAGCTTGACAGCTTCACATAACGAGCCGACGTACACAGCAAGAAAAACTGAACGCGGCTCCATTTTCGTTCGCGTGTCCAGGCGCCTCATTTGACAAACTCAAACAACCTCACCTCATGCTTCCTGTACTCATTTGTCTCAGGCAGCAGATGCATGCTCCTGATTAGTCATTGCGAGTATGCTCTGCCTGCAGTACTGTATATTTGCCTGTGAGGCTGATGACTACCCCCTAGACTGCTGTTCAAACAGTCGGCGGTCAGTGCAATCATAAATTGGCAGCGAGAGGTCTTCATTGACCGCGTTATGGACACGGCACACCCATAACACAAAATCCTTCTGGGATGCAATTGACGGAGGATTAAACTGAATAATTGGGATGAAGGCGTCTCTGCATACATGGCAGGGGTAGAAGAGCGTGAAACCCAATAGCCAGCTCAGCATCGTTCTTTGGACCAATTTGCTCTGCGCAACAAAAACAGGGCAGAGAGATAAGCCAGTTCTCAATGTAACGAAGCAGAAATGGTCCAGACGCTGCCGGGGAAGCGGCGAGCGGTGAGAGCAAGCTCGTACGGTTTATCACAAGCATATCGGTGCCGGCATCTGTTTGTTGGATCCTGTTCAGGAATACTCACAGGTTTATCTGGGAATTGTGCTGCCGCTGCATGCAGCACTTTCCATGAAGCCCGGCCCATCTGCTCCCTACTCGGCGGCAATATCAGACTATCTGGCCGTTTGCCTTGACTCGGCATTTCAGCGCAAGGACAGCCAGCTGGCTTCCTCCGCTCCATTTGGAATGAAAGTGCAAGAGTATTGTATGTCCCGGAACAAATAAATCGGCTTCATTTAGAGAGCTCAAGTCCATGGTTTGTGAGTGAAGCTTGAAGGCTGTACTAACGGCATCGATGCTGTGGCGGAAATCGCCGCCGAATCTGCATCTTGTGGGCAATTTCATCAAAAGCCTCCTAAAGTTTAGTTAGAAGTTACGAAGTTAAATTCTATTCGCTTGACAAAGCCACTAACAAGCAGGTGCGGATCATTAGTTTGGGGGGCCCACATGCGTGCCAGGTTTCGGATGCAGGCTACGGTTATTGGCTTGCTGTAGTATCTTGAAATCCCAAATATTCTTCTGTATCATTCGTACTGTTCTGTAATGATCAAAACGATTTGTACCCACACATTGCCTATATTAAGTGCTTGGCAACTAAGCACGGCGGGCAGGATATCGACAGGTCTTGGAGAACAGGACAAGGAGCTTCCCCATAGAAACACTGGTACAAAGCAACAACACCCACTGTCTGGAAACTCATGGAGAATCTGGCTTAGTTGTAATATCAAGGGCCGTGCCTCGTACCCACGCCAGCGATGTTGCCTTCGTCGGCGTTCAGGTGTTACCCCTGGCGCTCCCCAGACCCAGCACTATGTTTAACACGCTGGACCTCATACCCGTTGAGCAGAGGATGGAAATCAAGGCGGATTGGCAGGGCTCAATGGGCAAATTTCGCCCAAATGAGGGGTATGGCTGTCTTGACTGCTCCACAAATTCAGCGGAATGCGTGGGCCAACGCCTCTCTTATCGGCCGTGGGACAGCTGTCTTGCCCTTCAGAAGATGTAATTCGACACTCCCAGCAACGTCAGGTGGCTCCCCACCACCTGAGTTGCAAAATCACATCCAGGCGCGGCCATCGGGGGTTGACACTTCTCTGTCGAAACAAGAACAGAAAGCTTTGGGAGCATCGCGCCTGCGGGTCATAGAACTTGACCTTAACAGCATGGAAATGCAAAGGAAAAAAATAATTCGGAGAAATAATTTTTTTGGAGTCAGTCGGCAGCTGAACCAACGCTACTTCAGACGCTCACAGGCACATAGACAGCCGCCGAGTCCACTACAGAGCCCTGTCAATTGCATATTTTGAATACATCCATATATTAAAAGCCCACGAAGCATATCGAACGCTGCTCCTGGCTAATAATGATGAAATGGCGTAAGTAGTAAGCTGTTGTGGGCGTTTCTGACGGGGTGCTGCAGAAACTCTTACTGTGCTTTATCGTGGCTGGAGGCGTGTTGATGTACTTGGTGTATGCGGCGGCAGATGTCACTTCGGGGTTCCTTCGTCATATGGACGGTCTGTTGGAGGTAATGTACGGACTTCTGCCTGAGAATTTTCCAGACCCAGAGTTTGCTCATGATATGGTTATGTGGCTAGCTGCCAAGGGATACTTGCCATATGATCTGGAACGGTGAGCGGTGATGCTTATTTAGTTTTTCACCGTGTCTATGTACACGTAGGACGCCGACTAATTAGATATGCTGCAGGAACTCAGTGCAGTTGGTTTTCCTGCGTCGCGTGACGATTGTATATCGCTGAGATGACGTTCCGTTAGGTAATATGGTTGTGGGTCCGTTGCCGCGCCACCACTCACGGCAAGCTATGAAATTCCACTTTTATTTGTATGACTGCAACTCCCACTTATTTGCCAGGTCGGTTTTAGGTTCCACAATGCGTGAAAAGTTTCATGGTGTGGGGTGCACCGATCGTTCTGCAAAATTCACACGTGGCGCAACTGCCATGGCATGGAATTCCCTGTGCCTTCATGGTGATGTGTTTTTGTGTAGGGATGATCCTGAACTGAGCGTCAACATCAAGGGCCTGACCTTCCACACACCAGTAGGACTAGCTGCAGGGTTCGATAAGGACGCTGAAGCCCCACTGAACTTTTGCAAGTACGATTGCTACAATCACCATTCGCTAACAGGCCCTGCGCTGTTATGCGTCGCAAGTAGTAGACTACTAGAAGTGGTAGATAATTACCGCGCTTTTATGCCTGGTGGTAGATGAAAGGACATGGTCGTCCTCTTTTCGTGGGGTCAGCTTACGCTGTGACAGGTATCGCCGAGCTAGTCAAATATCCGTGGTTGCAGGATGGGATTTGGTTTTGTGGAAGTTGGAACCATCACTCCGAAGCCTCAACTAGGAAACCCGAAACCCCGCATATTTCGTCTGGCAAAAGACCATGCAATCATAAATCGTTGTGGTTTCAACAGGTGCGCGACCACCAAGCAAATGTGGCAGCAAATTTTACAAGAATGGATGGCGTAGATAGCAACTTAGAAAGTAGAGCATGCTTACACTTCGTTGTATTTTGCAGCGCTGGATTGGATGTTGTGGAGCCTCGCCTGGAAAAGGTCTCAAGGGATCGATGGCACGATCGTCTTGAGCGACATTGCGTTCTTGGTGTTAACATAGGTGAGCAGGGCTGTGGTGGTGAATTTTTCTGTGACTCAGATGCGATTTGCAGCTTGGGCGGTTTGCACATTGAGAGTTAGTTCCCGTGGCAAGTGCACGGTTCCTTGCTCAGGCAAAAATAAAGACACAGTGAATGCAGAAGATGATATTCGTGAAGGCGTGAAGCGTGTTGGCCGGTTCGCTGACTATTTGGTTATTAATTTGAGCTCTCCCAACACAAAGGGCTTGCGGACGCTTCAGCAACGCGAGCACTTACGGAGCATCATCACTGCTGCTCAAAACGAACTTGAAAAGCTGGAAGAACGCGACCGCGCACAGCGGGAACGGGATGGCCACTCAAATCCAAGGGAGGAAGAGGAAGCCGCGTCGTCAGACAGCGTCACGCACAAAGCCGAACAATTCTTTCCTACCCAGACTGGCAAGCGCCCGCTGTTGTTTGTTAAAATAGCGGTACGAGTACTCACGGTAATAAGGAAAGAACTGTCCCGAGTTGAAGGGGTTGAACCAATTCACTACATGCGCTTCTGAGAGGGCAACAAATGGCGTACATTGGCGCCGAGGTTAGACGTTCTACACGCCGCATTGGAACTTAACGCAAAATTCGCCGACTGCACGGCAGTCATCGAGTTTCGCTGGTTTTTGAATTGCTCGGATATTTCTCTTCTGTTGGTGCGCACGCTGCGTTACAGCCAGACCTGACGGATGAAGAGAAGCGGGACATTGCTGATGTGGTAAGGTCAACTCCAGGTCTATAAAGTGCATGGAATGTTGCCACGGATCAGTCATTTGCAGCGCTATTTGGTGCTTCAGTGTGGCCAAAAGCTTGTAAATTCCAGTAACTCACTGCAACTGAGATTGAGAGGATGCATCACGCTTCATTGCATGTCACTTTGCCAATTTGGGCAGGCACTGGAGACTGGGCTAGATGGGCTTATTGTAACGAACACCACGGTGAGTATTTTGCTCTCATTGTTTCATGAGCCGTGCGGCTTGACGCGCGCTCCTCCATGCCCGTGTTAATAAGTGGGACATTGCCAATTGCTTCCATGATACTTTTGTCAGGCTGCATTTTACCATGCTAGGATGGCTGTGGAGGGCGACTACTGTTTCTCATTATCGGCCAAGCTATTTCTGCTGCACCAGATTGTGGTATCGGTGCTTACAGATCCAACGGCCGGAATCGCTGAAGAGCGAAAGCAAGCACGAAACAGGAGGCCTTAGTGGCCGGCCCTTGAAAGCCATGTCAACCAAGTGCGTCTCCGATATGTACAAGATGACCAATGGTCAAGTCGCTATCATTGCGGTAAGTATCTCTCAAAAGAATGCATCTCTCTCTTCCTAGTCGCCTCCTATATCGGTAGGAGGCGCCCTGTACACGGAACATACTTTAGCAAGTGTGAGGCGGTGGGTGCTACTTGTCACAGAGTGGAGGCATCGAGACGGGGCTGGATGCGTACAAGCGAATTAGGGCAGGGGCAAGCGCAGTTGAAGTGTACACATCCATGGTATGAAGAAAATCTGCCCTTATTCAAGGTGTGCCACGGAATAGTTATCCTCATTGATATAGGGCATTCGAGTTTCCAGTTGGCCAACTGTTGCATGTCAGATCTACCGTGGCCCTATAGTGGCCCGACGTGTCAAGGATGAGCTCTTGAATATTTTGAACCAAGCAGGCAAGTTTCAAGTCTCGCCTCACTTCTCATTTGCTCTAGTCAAAGCTGGCATTTCCTATTTCAGTTGCACCACTGGTAAATGGCGCTCGCCGAGCGGAAGCTACAGGGAAACCTTCCTTTGCTGTTCAGTGTTGCTTGTCGGAGCTGTTCACAGGCATCTACAATGTACAAGATGCCATCGGACTGGACCACCGGCCGCCGAAGAAAAAACGTGTTCGGAAGCCAACTTTTGATTAGATGTAAGGGCATGTGAAATGTTTACATAATTCGGAGTACTCGAACACGACAGCGATTGCGTCATTTTGTGCTTCTGGGATACAAAGCCGACGGTTTGCCGCTAACCGTAGGCCAGCCTCTGAGTGTGCCGGTGGAATGTGGTGTTAGATTCTGTAGCTTTGAGCTGGCAGATTCACGTTGTTCTACCCCTACTTGTGAAGATGATGGAGACTGCTGCCAGGCCTTAATGTTTTCAGGAGGGACATGAAGCGAACTTTTGAATGGACAGCCAAAGGGAGCCCCCACATCTATGTTGTTCCGTTACACCGTAGTTGGGCAATGTGTTGCCCACAAAGTGACTTGCAGAATGCAAGCAGAACATACCTCTCTTCCATTGCAAGGGTTTTTGCGCAGCAGTTTGAGAATTATCCGCGCAGAGGCAGCACCACGATTACAGAAAGCAGGGAAGTGCTGGTATAAAAGCACACTAGCGCAACTGGAGAAGAATAGATAGGCTAATGGATGCATTAGAGGCAGCTCATTCGGCATAGGCTGATTACACAACAAGTACTGGTGCGCGCTTAGCTGCCTACGTGCACAAACAGCTCAGCAAC